CTTCGCCGAGAAAACTCCAGGCCTCGGCCTCTCAATTTCGACCTCGGCCTCACCTCGAAAATCTTAGGCCTCAGTGAGGTCGGCCTCGGCCTCTTCAATTTTCAAAGAGTAGGCCTCAGACCTCATAGGCCTCGGCATCCCCGAGATAGCTCTAGGCCTCGGCCTCCCAATTTCGGCCTCGGCCTCACACTTTGAACCTCAGGCCTCAGCGAGGTCGGCTTCGGCCTCTCCAATTAATACTATGGTGAGGCCTAAGACCTCAATAGGCCTCGGCCTCGGCTTGAAAATCTTAGGCCTCAGTGAGGTCGGCCTCGGCCTCTCCAATTTTCAAAATATAGGCCTCAGACCTCACTGGCCTCGACCTCGCCGAAAAAGTTCCAGGCCTCGGCCTCATAATTTCGGCCTCAGCCTCACGTTTTGAACCTCAGGCCTCAGCGAGGTCGGCCTCGGCCTCTCTAATTTCCAAAGAGTAGACCTCAGGCCTCACTGGCCTCGACCTCAAATTCCTTAGAGAGGCCGAGGCCTGAGGTCACAAAAAATGGCCTCAAAGAGGCCGAGGCCGCCCATCACTGCACGATATGTACTATATTTAAATTCAATATATATACATACATACATACTGATTTATATATGTAACCTCACCGGTGACGATGTGAAGCTGATCGGTTGGTTATGCTAGATCTATGCATATATTAATAAACTAGCGTATAAGCCCGTCTCCCGCCGGGCGAGAGATGATTAGATTATCAAAATTTCACCATGCTCTGTCATCTCTGCCATCCCTGTTTGCCAATTTGCCAGTGGCAATGGCAGTGCCACTGGCAGTTTGTCCGGCACCCACTTGGCTCTGCCATTTTTACCAGCCTAGTCCGCCATTGGCAATGATCTGCATTGGCAACCACACCCAAGCGACAATCCATCAAATAACCACTCCCAGATAACCACCGTGAGGCAGCCACACCCTGATAACCAATACCAGATAGCCATCATCAGAAAGCCCCCAAGACAACCAAAATCAGATAACCACTCCCAACATAACCGCCACGCCCGATAACCACCACCAGGCCCCTATAACACGATAACCACCATCAGGCTGCCACACCTCGATAACCACCGTCAGGCCGCCACACCATGTATAACCACCATAAAGCATCAACGACCAGATGATCCCTTGCCCATTGCCCGATCTTCTCATATTTATTTTTAAAATTAAGATTTTTGAATTTTCGGGCCATTCGAAATTTAACTTTCCCTGCTTTCACTTCCGTCACGGAAAATTACTTTCACTTCCCTTGCAGACAGACATTTCTAGCTTATAATATAGAAGTTAGGATCATGTCATGTGTATACGTGCAGTCCGACTAACTAATGCAAGACGTCGATGTCAGGGTATTCCGACCTGGGTTTTAATGGGTTGGGTTTTATTGGGTTTTAATGGGTTTTAATGGGTTGTAAATGAATAAAACCCACTGGGTTTTACCATGTTAAGTGGGTTTTATTTGGGTTTTAATGGGTTTTATTGGGTTTTAATTGAGTTTTACCTTAAAACTACATTCTAAAAGTTAAATACATCTCCTATACGTTAGAAGACGTTATCTCAATTCATTCTTAAGCAGTTTATTTTATTACTATTCTAATGTATGAAAATTCGGAACAAATCAACAATTGACTCCTTCCTTTAGCATCACAGATTTCAAGTGTTATAAAACAAAAATAATTTCCGAATAGATACAAATTCCTAATTATTTTTGTTAAGTTATTACTTAAAACTAATAAAACCCATTAAAACCCATTTAAACCCAATAAAACCCAATAAAACCCATTAAAACCCAAATAAAACCCAATTAACATGGTAAAACCCATTAAAACCCATGGGTTTTATAATTTTTGATTAAAACCCTAGGGTTTTCCGAACCCTGGTCGATGTGCGATAAGAACGTGCCTGCAAATGCACTCAGCAAATATATAAATAACTATCTACGTAAGCATGCAATTATGATAAGCACATATTTATTATACCAATTTGTGTAAGACACGTACAGATACGTATGTTCATACGTATTTAATGTAAATACTTATGCATATGACACAGTGCAAAATTAGCAATTTGTAAAAATTCAAGTTTGCCGTGAAGTCCAATGGATATGTATTTTAAAATTTTTCGTACTAAATATTTAGAACTTGGTAACAAAAGCTAAGTATTACTTCATTTCGTGATGTTGAAATGGTTGGAGACAGTTTGTTACCATATAATTGTATGCAAGCGTTACCGGCTAATTTATCGTTTATGACGGGGTTAATTAAACATGATTTACAATTATGACAAAGGTCCGCCATCCATATTTGTCATAATTGTCACACATTTAGACAATGACACTTATGAAAATGAAAATAAAAATTGACGTTTATAACATGATATGAGATTTATTAAACCAGTTAACACTTGCAATTTAAATCCTTCTTGATTAATATGCACATGCATTTTAAGATGAGCTTATCAATTCGCCACATTTCTGAGTACACTTATCCAACAAGCCAATCTTTTTCATCGCGTTACTCCCTATTTGGGCTTTCAGCTTACAAAGTTAATACAGTGTGTCCACTTAAAAACGAGTCCACCAAACTACCATGAGCACTAGGTAATACAAATTGGCATAACTTTTTTCTTTGTTTATTTACACAGGTGATTTTTTTACAAAATGTATACCAAGTATTTATATAACAGAATACGGAAAAGAATAGAAATTCAAACACTATTGGAGGAGGGATACTCCGAGAGAGAAATTTCCGAAAAAATCAAAGTTGCAAGAAGTACTGTCCAGCGTTGGAAAAACCGAGAGTCAACAGCTGACAAAAAAAGGCCTGGACAACCCACCATACTGTCACCTACCACTAAAAATATGATTAAAACTAGAATGTACCGAAAAACTGGCAGTTCCACTCGAAAATGTGCGGCCGCCATCAATCTCATAAATCGATTCAAACGGATGGATAAAAAGATTAGCAAATCTACCATTCAAAATCATCTAAAAACCACCACATGGGGAAATAAAGCTTTCAAGAGATCTAAAAAACCACTTTTGTCTGCCAAAAATATTGAAGATAGGTTAAAGTTTGGTAACTTTTTGGACGAAAACGGCTATTTGACAGAGGGTGAAAGGGGTGAAGAAAAACGTCGACATATACTATTTACCGATGAAACTTGGATTTATCTTCACCCTCGGGGGAATCCTCAGAACACAAGGTACAGGACAGAAAAAAGAACGGAGGTTCCAGCAACATCTACACCGAAAAAAAGTCTTCAGATTATGGTTGCTGCTGGGTACTGTTCGAGGGGCGTCTCTCGTTTGCACATCATTCCGAGTGGTCAAAATGTAAACGGAGCCTATTACCGTGACAAAATTCTTCCTACTTACTTCGAAGCCATGGACAATAAGCTACTTTTTCCAAGTAAGAAAAAAATAACTTTCATGCAGGATGGGGCACCAGCTCACACTGCAAAAGAGAGCATGCGCCTCCTAGGGGAGCACATTTCAACAGTCTGGGGGAAGGGGACTTGGCCAGGAAATAGCCCGGACTTGAACCCAATCGAGAATCTGTGGCCCTATCTCAAGAATAGCGCGTATGAGCAGCCAATTCCACGAACCCGTTCTTCTTTAATTCGACGCTTCCAAAAAAAATGGAAGGAAATTTCGGTTACCGTTTTGGAAAATCTGACGCAGAGTTTCCCTAAACGAATTAGAGATATGCAAATTGCGTGTGGAGGCATCACTAAATACTAAGGTATTGTATACCAAAAGGATTTATGTTAAAAAAAAATTTTAGTACAAATAAAATCACTTTTATTACCCCCCCAAAAGTGGACTCGTTTTTAAGTGGACACACTGTATCTATCCATCCCAACGACAGGAGCAAAGCGGGTACAGTTACAGTAAATAATCCAAGCAGCTTCAGCCTTCCTCAATTTGGCGATGGAGGTAAAAACTTTTTCATTGTTGTAGCATAATTATCAGGTTAAGAAAAACCCTGGGGTTTTGCTATTTAAAACCCATACCCCGGGGTTTTACCTGGGTTTTGCGGGTAGTCGGGGTAGTCGGGGTTTTGGGGGCAAACTGAGTCAGTGTCTCACATATTAAGTTAAGAAATTAATGAAAAAATCAGTTTTTCAGTAATTTCGCAACAAAATTGCTTATTAATTATATTTTAATAAGTAATTAATTTGTTGAATTGGTAGTAATGCCCTGTTATCGTATTTTGTAAAATTTGAAAACCCCGACTACCCCGACTACCCGTGGGTATTGCTCAAATTTGCTACCCCAAAACCCACCAAAACCCGCAATACCCCAAAAACCCGGCGTAGCATACCCTGATAATTATAGACCCGGCTAAATTTAAGTTAACTTTAAATTAAATATAAGTTAACTCAATTTGAGTTTTCTTATTTAGCAAGATATGCTATCAGTAAACCATTCACTTTAAACGTAAATCAAAATAATCCTTCTTTAACGAGGTCTAGTAGTTTAATTAATTTTTTTGTCGTGATTATTTGCATTCCTATTGAAATGAAATTATTATTGTTATCAATTTTGACCATATTATTTGATTAACGGAATGTGCAGAATTTTTTTGGGTAGGCTATGCACGGTCATAATTAGAGACCCGATTATAATTGGGGACCCGGCTTAAATTTTGAAATCTTGGGCTCTATACTCGGCTACACTTGGTGACGGGCAATTACTAGAATAGGCCTATCAATGGAGTATTTAAGGTATATGAAATTATTTAGAGAAAAATCAGTCAATCCGACCGTAAAAAATTTACAAACTTGAAACATGTCAGATTTCACAGTTATGCGATAAAAAATTCCATTTGCTCGACAAGATGGAAACTAACAACTAAAAAAATGCACTCTATAAAATCGTAAAACAAGAAAAATCCGAAGTTGCCATCCTGATTTGGTGTCATTTTTTTCAGTAAACAGACGCAGAATGTTGGTTTGATTTTTATTTAGGTAATTATATAATTTTGATAATTTTGCAATAATTACAGAATTTTTTAATTATAAGTTTTGTCCAAATTGTATGGATTTAAGTACTAACTGGTTGACCGTACTCTTGTGGTTGCTGCTGTTGGTCCCATCCGGGTGGAGGTGGTCCTTGCACATCTATTCATTAATTGTAATTTAATAAATTAGTAAAAAGGATAAGCAATTGTACTATAAATAAGTACATATTTATATTTTGAAAAACATGGTACGCATGTTCATATGCAGAACTCACAAATAATTTGCGGCTGCGGTTGGTCTCCTTTTCGACAAGATGCAAAACAGCAGTACCCACAGCAGAAGCAAATTCCGACTGGAAGACAGACGAAGAAGATGAGAAAGACGACGATACCGGCGGCAATTACCCAACCAGTCCTGAAAATCAATTAGAATTCAAATTACTAAAATAATGTGTATTTCACATTTGCTAATTGCGTTTTTGTTATTTTTGAGTCACATACATAATTTGGCCAAAATGTATTCGCGAACATTCAAACGTTACAACATGCTGAAGATAGGCTAGATTTTGTGGTGACGAAGTCTACTTTCATAAAACTCTAATGAAAATATGTAAATATATTTTCATTTCCGAAAGAACTTCAAAATAAACGCCAATATTCGGAATTATATGCGTCATGTGATTCCTACTGTTTGGCCTGATTTTTGAATACAACTCGCTAAAAACATCCAAGCGCTGCTTGAAAAAAGGTTCCTTTGTATTCCATTTTAGAAAATGAATGAACAAATTTTTTAACATTTTTTAAAATCTAGTCGACTTACGGAAATTCATCCTCATAGTAGTAGCAGTTGTTACTTGAGCAGTAATCGCAATAAGATGGACAACTCGATTGCAGACCATCGCCAACTTCGAGCTGCTTTATTTTTAGGTCTCCGTTCTCTTTGGCTTCCTTATTATTAAGGGTGGCACCCTGCACGGCGTAGATCGCCATGACGACGACCCAAAAAAATTCGACAAACTTGGTCATCCTTAAAATAAATATGTTTTTTATTCAGCCGATCAAATGGAGGATGAAATCGAATTGAATTTTTTGAGTCATCGTTGGTTGACATATATGTGAAAATTTTTGTCAAGTTGAGGACCTACGTAATCTGGTCGGCGTCATTGAGTCTCGATTATCGTAATTGATTGATTTCGGGTCAATTATGTAATTTTAAATTGTATGCACCAAGCGGAATATAACCATCAATTTATACGGTATCCTGTACATATGTATGTACCGACAACGCTTTATTTCGCTTCAATACAGTATTTGCACATATGTATCTACGCCAGCACTAATTGACACTCATGTTCACAGTTTCCATTTTTAACTTAACATTGCCCTACGTAAAAAACACCCTAAATAAAAATTGTGCTGAATTTACTAAAGGTTGACAACAATCGGGTAAATTATGCGCAACGGTTACATAAATTGTATTCAAGTTGGAAAAATTTTTAAATACACAGCCGATGAACATATTGTTGTTCTCCTGACTGGTGTATCATCCTCTTTCTTAATTAACCTTGGATAAATTTTCCACAACTTTTATTTCACCTTTTATTTAGAATGTACAGACGTACAGGAATGTACTTATGTACTTATCATTATGTAACCGATCATCCTGACTTGATTTTCACAGGTAATGCAGCGTCCTATCAAATTAATACCAGGTTTTCCCGTTACTCCCAACATATAAATATAATGTACATTTTATGTAACCTCACAAGTGACGATATGATCGAAGCTTATGATGATGATGTGTGTGTATTAATAAATAAAATCATGCCATGTGTGTACGTACGGTCCGTCTGACTCATGCAAGACGTCGATGTGCGATAAGAACATATCGCTAAATGCACTTTAGTACGTACATATGTACAAGCATGATAATTATGTAAGGATGTGCTCATATTTATACCTATTTTGTGTAAAACACGTATTTATTTATGTACACATGTATGTATGCAGCATTTTTTATGAGGTAAATTAATATTGACGATTATGACAATTTCTATGATAATCATGACCTAATGACAATTATGACAATCATCCGTCAAAGTTGTCACTATCATCATATTTAAATTTAGACCTTGTACATCTTTATGACAAAAAATTGACAAATTGACATTTATGACATGTAAGGGGACGTTCATAAACTTCATAACGCAAAGAGGGGTGGGTGGGTAATTGAGATTCCGTTACGCAGCGTGACAGGGGGGAGGGTGGGTGAGCTGATACATGTTACTGTAACGCAAATTTCTTTTTGTGCACACAATATAATTTTGAGGTTAGGTAAATTTTTAGGCATGTATAGGTATAACAGTACATAAAATGCATAAAGATCATAAAAATGAATGAGACACAATTTATGTATACTGAAAATTTATATATATAAAAATATTTTTCCACCCTGTAAGGTCTGTGTAAGATTCAGCTATCTTGCTATTATTCTTGTTTCTATTCTGTTTTGTGCTGTTTTGAAGCCTTACTGCAATATTATCTAGCCCAAGTTAGGGTTTATGATAAACCCCAACTTGGGCTAGATAAACCGTTTACCTATCCTTAATATGTATATGTATGTAGTTTCTTACTTCTTTGTCTGTCAATCGATTACGCTCGTAAGACTTAAAAGAGAACCACAACTACTGTCCCATCTCGATTTCCTTCGGAATAGCCTTAATCGACAGATAATTTAGTGAAAATAAAACTTTGTCATAGAACATGCGGTGCAAAATCACGTTTTCGCGAAATATTTAGCAAGAAATGCACCAAGACCTGCCATTTTCTCAATGCTTTTAACATAGCCACCACACTCTAAACAAAATTGAGTAAAAAAGAGGATGACACAACAGTCGAGGTAAAATTTGTCCAAAATTGAGTAAAATTTGCCCAACGTTGTGCGAACAAGGTGCATCATCATCATAATTTTACTCAATGTTGGACAAATTTTACCTCGACTGTTGTGTCATCCTCTTTTTTACTCAAGGTTGGGCAAATTTAGTACAACTTTTTTTTACAGTGCAGCTTTTCGAATGATGAAATGAACTTTATGGAATATTGAAAAATTATATATGTACATATCCGCGTAATTTCAGCCCGATCACGAATACGTAAAAAGTGATGCAAGCTTTTGTCAATTTTTTGCAAATTGCGAAAATCGGAAAAAATTCGCAAATTTGAATTCTTTGCTCCTTTAGATTCCACAAAATTTACAAAGTCTGACCAATCTAAAATACGTTTTTCGTATTGCAAAAAAATTGAAAAAATTTGCAAAAATTTAAATTCGCAATTTTTCATGAAAATTAGATAAAATCACCAATTCTAGTCTATTTTAACGCATTTTTCGAAATTATTTGCGATATTTATTTTTGCAACTTGCAAAAAAATGCAATGTATGTCGTGATTTTTTAGTTGTTCTACAAATTAGCTTTTCCTTCATTCAAACATTTGTATGTAAATGATACTTTTTTAGTTTCTATAAAATGATAATGAAAAATTGAAAAATTACGAACCTCAATTTTTACAAATTTTTGGCAATTAGAAAATTGTATTTTACATTAGCTAAACTTTTGATTTAATTATTGATTAATTATCATTAATGATTAACTATGATTTTGATTATATTGTAATTTTGTTGAATTTAAACGAACGAAGAATTCAAATTTGCGAATTTTTTCAGATTTTCGCAATTTGAAAAAAAATCGCAAAAGCTTGCATCACTTTTTGCCTATTCGTGATCGGGCTTAAATTACGAGGATATGCACATATATATTTTTTCAATATTCCATAAACTTTATGGCAGAAAGTTCATTTCATCGTTCGAAAGGCTGATGGACATTTTAAAAGCATTGGGAAAATGACAGGTTTTGGCGCAGTTCTCGCCAAATATTTCGCGAAAACGTGATTTTACACCGCATGTTATATGACAAAGTTTTAGTTTCACTAAATTATCTGTCGATTAAGGATATTTCGAAGGAAATCGAGATGGGACAGTAGTTGTGGTTCCCTTGTTAGTTTATCGACTTCAAATTTTGTACACATCGAATAACATGAAATTATTATTCAGAAAGAAAATCTCAAAAATGGTTTAGTTTGCCACAAAGTACATGCCTGTATAAAGAGTTCACAAAAATCGTCAAGCTATAATTCCTCCAATCTTAAATGTCCTAAAAGGCTTCATTCATTTTTCATATTAAAAGTGGAAATACTTTGACACTAAAACACTAATAAGATGAGGAACGGATAAAATAGCAGAACCGCTGTTGTTAAGTCAAAAATAATTATGTATTTTACTTGCTTCCAAAATTCATTAAGTCATATGCTGAACACCTTCTTTATCCAAACCAACACTGGCAATTTGTCTCCCTCAAAGGCTGTCACATAGGGGAGGGTGGGTGTCCAAAAAAGCCAAAATTTGCGTTATGAAGTTTATGAACGTCCCCTAATGCCATTTATTTCGTTGAAAATGACAATTCATGTAAATCGGTCCTGCTATGTTCATACATTTCTTAGTAATTCGTCACATTTCTGAATACATTTATCCACCAGAGAAATATTTTTCTCCTTGTTACCTTCCATTTTCGATTTTAACTTACAAAGATAAATTCTATCCAGCCAAATGACAGAAGCAAAGTCGGAACAATTATCGTAAATCCAGGCAGCCTCACCCTTCTTCAGTTTGACGATGGTGGTAAAAACATTTTCATTATTGTAGCACAAAGCCAACGTGGCAATTCCCATGGTAAAAGCGACACCCAGGGATTTTTGACAACTTAAATCCGACACGTTCGGGTACAGGGTGAGACCATCGAACATGTGGGGAAGGGCGTTAATGACCAATTCATTTAAGCAGTTTACTGCCTTTTGTTTGTTGGAGGGGAGGAGAAAATCGTCCAGTTGTGTGGCATACTTACTCCAAACCAGGGTTGCAGAAATCTCATCTCACCTTCATAAATCTCATCTCACTGAGATATAGTGAGAAATAGTGAGACATGAGAAATATGAGAAATAGTGAGACTTATGAGCCATGCACTTAAGCGCCACCTAGCGGACGGGGTTATGAACTACAAGTTTATCTCATTATTTATCATATTTCTCACTCAGCCCCAACTGAGATAAATGATATAAATCATTAAATCTCACTAAGTGATATATATCCCTTGTAACCCTGCTCCAAACCTGTATAAAGAAGTATTTTTTCATTTGAAATTCATGAAATTTCAAAGTTTTGAAAAATAATTATTCATTCATTCAAAAATTGGCGAATAAACATTTGCATATTTATTATTCATTTCTTATTAATCTCCGTGCAAATTCACTTTATTATTGGGTCTCTCAACTTGCCCATATACTACTACGCTCGTCGTGAGAATTTAATAATGAATAAAATTGTGCATTCAATCTTGATGAACATCAAATGAATAAATAATCATTCATTTCAAATTTTGAAAGAATCCCTCAGTCATTACGTATTCCTGAATTTATTGAATAATGAATGAATTCAGAATGAATATTCATTCTCTACAAAATATATGAATGTGAACAGAGCCGTTCATAAATTATGTAAAGCAAAAATTGGGCCTCGTTTTACATGTATCAAAATTGGCACAATAGCATGCAAGCCTTAGAACCCCCACCTGTCGCGATACATAATTTATAAACGGCCCCATACCCCTAATTCGTACCTCTTTCGGCCAGAATATCCTAGGCTGCGGGATTTGCAAGAGATCTTCTCTTATGTCCCGAATTATATTGACTTTTTGCAACAGGAGCCCCGCCGAAATGCAGAGGGACCGTTTCGTCTCATCCGGGATGCTAAACGGTGCGCAAACTTTGCTCAGAATGGACAATTCGATAGCATTAATGCCCACCAGGCCGGCCACGTAGTAACAATACTTATTGTATTGGGCAAGGCTGACGATATCCTCGTCGAGAAATTGGTTCATTCCGAATCCCATTTCTTTTATGGCGTCCCGTATCACGCCTTGATGCGTGGGATGCAAGGAATTGTAGCATTTCGCCAAATTTCCGTATTCTTTGAGGAGTTTAACTTCGTTCGGGTTTGCGCCAACTGAAATTTTAGCAAAACAAGAATATCATTATAGGTTGGTGATATTTATGAAAAAAATTGAGATAAAGTCTAAAGTCGCGAAAATTTCTGCAATATATCCGACAAACTTATAACGGCAAGGTAATCCGTACATATTTGCAAATATACTGATAAATAAATTTTATCACTGACTGTCAACTATGTACCTAAGTAAAATTTAGAGCATACTTTCCTGGTGATATTGCTATAGAATAATATCGAAGGCAATTTTGTGCAGAATTCCGACAGTGTCACAAGAATTTTTAGAGTGTTTGTACATACGAAAATGCACACTTACATCCGGGTAAAACCCAATCCTCGTCTCCTATATGGGTGTAAAATTCACACAAAGGTTTTTCCTTCTCTTTTGACGGTACTTTCATGTCATCCTCTAAGGAAAATTTACAAAAATCAAACATGTCAAATGGTAAATACTTATATAATTACACACCCTTAAAAATAATGTTACCTTTTTGTAAATGCACTCTGAATTCAAAATTAAGTAAAATATACTACCTCCAGAGTAACGCTAACCTGATAAAGAGTAAAGTTTATTCTGAATTTACATAATTTAGAATTCAAACATTGCGTTTACTTTTCAAAAGGAGGACATTATTTTTTAGGGTGTAAGGAGCCATCCACAAATTACGTAGCGTAAACAATTGCGATTTTCTAGACCCCTCAGCCTTCCCCTGTAACATGTGTAACATTGGCACGATATCATTCGTGTCCCCCTCACCCCTCTCGCGTTACATAATTTATGGACGTTCCCTCAGAATTTATGATTTTTTTGTTACTCACCAATTGAGTCAAGTGCCCTCGCTATTAAATAAAATACTGCCACCGGTCTGACCAAATCGGGACGAATGCCCAAAATCAGGAAGTTGAAACTTCTACTCGTTTTCTTCAAAAGATCAAAACACCACACCCACTCGGGGCTTTTCTTTTCATGTCGAATTGTTAAACTGGACTGGTTAAAGATTAGCTTAAGAAGGGGGATTATTTGACCCGGGTGTGAAATATATTTGGAAATCTTAAAATAAAGAAATATTGACAGGGTGCCAGTAACAAAGGCAAAAATGTATGTAGGGTCCATTGACAATGCAAATGCAAAATTTTATTTATTTTGTCCAAGTATTTAAGGTGAAGGTTGAACAGTAACTGAAAGATTAAGGCTTAAAGTGTTAAATCTTGTTTTCAATACCACATTTTAATTGCGAGTAGGATGGAGGGAACTAGTTTGAAAGGATGTACACTCTAAGAAAACCGGTACTAAATCATGTACCACGTTGGTAAGAAATATTCATTGTCCTGGGTTATTTTAACACCAACCGGTGGCAAATGTAACACTGAAGAATCAATAGGTCCCAGGCTATCCCTGATTTTTATGAGTGTACATGCCTACTAAAGAGCTTAGAAATGGAAGTAATTGATGGCTTTAATCAGTTCTGTACACTATTACAAATCTGGTATTAAAATCCTGCCGGTATTGATTTCTCGGTATAAAAGTTCCTTCAGCTTGGTATTAAAATTATACCGGTCCTTAGAGATTTGCTCATCTTACATTGTATCACTTATCAACACCACTTTACTACAGTGCTATATGTATAAATACAACTTGGTATTATTTTAATCATGTCCAAAATACTGACAAAACTTACATCAAATACTCTAAAAATGTTTCTCACCATGTTCGAGCTATTGGGCGCATTATGCTCAAAAATGATGAAAATTATACACTTACGGATGTCATCTCATTTAAAGAATAGGTGAGCAGAGTTCATATTGTTCCAGTTTTGTGCATAGTGAAACTATGTAAAATCGAAATTTTATTTTTGAAAATTCGAACTCAATTTTTAAAAACTCTTAACGAATAGTGTCCGTATTACCCCAGAGGATGAAACCTCGTTCCGTCAAGTATTCCCAAAATTGAAACAGGATTTAAACCAAGTTTGCGAAACATGCGGCCTTATCGAATCGGTGGATTGGTTTGAAAAGGTTTTAGAATACAATGTTCCACACGGAAAATTGCAGAGGTAACAATTTAAAAAAAAACACATACCCAAATACAGGGTGGTTTAAATGTTAGGGTACAATGGAAAACTTTTCGATGCGAAAAATTCGCAAATCTCCACACTCAAAACAAAACAGTGTCAATATATGACTTAACCGCCTTGGTTACAATTGTGATTCCGAGTAGTAATGATTTTTTTCCATCCTGTCAGAACATTATAACTACCGGTATCAAAATCATCAAAACTCGGATTCAACATTGTAACCAAGGCGGTTAAGTCATATATTGACACCGGCAGTGTTGATTCGACAAATTTTTATTTTGAGTGCATTAGTTACCGACATTTTGCCTCTGGAATTCAATATTTTATAAATTTTGTCATCAGTGTTCCATAAGTTTTGATAAAAATTAATAAAAATCTCAATCCCAAATCCGTAACTAATGGAAATTTACAAACTCTTCCCATTGAAAAATTTTCCATTGTAACCTGACATTTACTGCTTCGTTTGTTCGGAGTTCTTAAAACGAGGATACGAGTATAAATACTGCCCACTTACCCAATTCACAGAGCGCAACGTGCAATTATGTAGGTAAGTGGGCAGTATTTATACTCGTATCCTCGTTTTAAGAACTCCGAACAAACGAAGCAGTAAACCACCCTGTGCATGAAAATCCGCAAAAATAAGGCATTTCACATCGTCCTTCGTAACTCCGTAACCACGTATGGAAACCAAAAACATCCCTTTCATTGTCCCAAACTTTTTGTACGTTAGTAAGAAAAAAAAATTCTTTATAGAGACTTCGAAATGCAGTCAAAGGTTCGTAAGTTTAGGAATAACGAAGGCTGACGTGAAATGCCTTAAAGGAAAATGACTTAAGAGATTTTCAGTTTGACAAATTTTAAGGGAATTTTGATCGTGAATACGTTCAAAGCATTGGCACGTAATCCTAGCGAGGAACAAATTAATTCTGCCCGCGTGCTGGGATGGTGTTGCGAGTTGGTTAGTAAAATTATCGAGTTTTTGTGGGTAGCAAAAACACAAATTTCGTAAAGTGCCCAATATGATAAATGTTGACCATGGCAAAAGCCATTTCAAAATTCTTCCGACAATGCGTACATCAATTATTTAATTTTTTCGTCAGTACCTACGTAAGTATTTATTCAGACAAACCATACTTAACCTGCGTATGGGAAGTTACATGCGTAATTATGCGGGGAAGATCGTAACCTGTTTACAAATCGACTTGGTTCATTTCAGCAAAAAAAGCAGGTTCATGGAGCACATGCGTACGTTCAAAACAAAAATTTGACAAATCAACACCGCCAATGTCAATATATGTATTACTTAACCGCCTTGGTTAAAATTGTGATTCCGAGTTATATATGATGATTTTGATACCGGCAGTTATAATGCTATGACCAGATGGAAAAATTTCATTACCACTCGGAATAAACATTTTAACCAAGGCGGTTAAGTCATATATTGTCACCGACGGTGTTGATTTGTCAAATTTTTGTTTTGAGTGTAGAAAAATAGGCAACAGAAATTGCGTAACCAAAATCCTGATATGTTACATACACTCTTCGAAATCCAGTATTAAACTACTATGTATAATACCAGGCGGTATCGATATGTGACTCTACCAACGTGGTATTGATGAATAATAACTTTTAAAAAAAATAATAGTAATAATATCAACTCAGTTTTTCTTTTCCATCCCGCGCTGGTATCCTTCCCATGCTATTAGTATGGTAGGGATACGAAGCGGGAACCAAATTTTTGGTGAAGTAATTCCGAGTCAGTAGTAATAACGGTATTAAAATTATACAATACTGGTATCAAATTTTTACGGACTGGTATAATTTTAATACCAGGCGGTAGCAACTTTAATACCGAAAAATCAATACCGTCGTGACTATTCAGATAAGCGGAGCATATGTTACATAAATATGACAGTTTTGCATATGAAAATATGTACATATATGTATGACGTCACACCGGTTCACGTTCATTTATTCAATAGAAATTGAATAAATTTTCATACACAGATATGAATTATTAAATAAATTCCTGAATAATGAGTGAATAATTGTTCAATATTTTTGAATGATTTTTGAACATTGAATAAAATTTATTTATTTCATATGTATTCATGTCACATGAATCATGTACCCCAAACCTTGGGTTGCATTTACAAATCCATCAAGTTAGATGAATTTGAGCTAAAAATGAATTACGAGTGCGTATATAAATATAATGAACAAGTAATTTTTATCAGATTGAGAATAAATAAAAAATGAATGAATACATACATTTTCTAATTATTAAATCACTGTAAATAAAGTTGAGTAAAATTGCCACCAAAGCAATTGTTGAGTAAAATTTTCCCTGACAAAGGTAAAATTTACTCAAGGTTGAGCAAAAATCTTTCAACCTAATTTTAGGAGTAAATTTTACCTTTGTCAGGGAAAATTTTACTCAATAGTTGCTTTGGTGGCAATTTTACTCAAAATTGAGTAAATTTTAATCAAATATATTTAGAGTGATTGAATGAATGTTGAGTGGATAAATACTTTTTTGAAGAGTAATGAAAAGGGACCATATCAATTATCAATTTATATATCCCGTAATAGTGTCAAAGTTAAGAAAAATTTATACATTTTCAGATGCAATCTTGCTCTCTTGTAGCAGATGACATGATGGATTCTTCCCCACTGAGGAGGGGACGTCCGTCCTGGTACAAGGTCAACGGAGTGGGGATGAACGCCATAAATGACGCCTTTTACCTGGAGTCCAGTGTTTACTACCTGCTCAAAAAATACTTTGGGGGGACCCCGGTTTACACCAATTTGGTCGACGCGTTTCATGATATCACATTGAAGACGGTTTTAGGGCAAAATCTGGACGTTATGGCGAACAAAATCGTTTTGAAGGACAGGTCAGATAATTAGGGACTGGGCAGAAACCACGTGATCGATTTGAGGGAGGGAACGGTTTGGGTCAAGGCATCCTATCCTTCTGGCGTTAATTATAATACGGGGCGAATAAGTTACACCGGCGTGGGTCAAAATTTCCCTAAAATCGATCGCGTTCTTTTTGATAAGTACAGATACAGAGGGTGTCTCCCTATGCAGGAACAATTTATGAGAATTTTTTGGAAATAGCCCGACAAAGATAAACCAATGTTGTTTTTGAAATGTTTTAGAGGATTGAATTTACTTCTGCAAATTTTTTACAAACTCTGAATTTTCAAAAAGTATATTCTTATGTATATTCAGTGGAATTTAATGAAAGTACTGGTATAAAAAGTTTTAAACAAGTTTCTCTACTTCAGATAGACGCAAGGGTTTTTGGAAATTTTGAGTTAAAAAAATTACACCAGTAATTTATTAAATATTTTGAAAACCTTTTATCTTTATAATCTGGGGACACTCTCTGTACTTTGGTAATCGCTCGAGCTGCAACAATTCTGCTGCTAGCACGTGGTTTTTAAAATTTACACTTTTTTCAGGTTCAAAATGGAAAACTTTTCAACAATTGCAACATACAAGACGAGCTACTACACTTTCGTACTTCCACTTCGACTCGGAGCGATTCTTGCTGGTTTGACGGATTCCAAGCTTATACCAAAGATTGACACTGTGGGGCTCCAGTTGGGCGAAATTTTCCAGGTACCAATTTAGCATAAAATATGACACGAATTTTGTACCAAACGGATCAACGGCTTTCATGCAAATACACCCTTAAAAATAATTTTATCCATTTAAAGAGGAAATGCACTCTTGCATAATTTTAAACTAAATAAACTACGCTAAATCCAGAGTATTATTAACTTGATATTGTAAATTTTATGCTGGATTTAGTATAGTATGCTCAATATGATTTCAAAATGTATTTAAATACTTCTCAAAAAAGATAGAATCATTTTTTTATATTGTAACCTTCGAAACAGCCTCTCAAAAATTAGACATTTACATATTTTCTAGGCAACCGATGATTTTTTGGACGTGTACGGCAACCCGGCTACGATCGGGAAGAAAGGAACGGATATTTCAGAGGGGAAGTGTACGTGGCTAATTTGCAAAGCTATGGAACTAGCGGACCGCAAGCAGCGTGCCGTTCTCGAACAAAATTACGGCAAAAATGACGAGGAATGTGTACTCATCGTGAAGAAGATGTTTCAAGAGCTGCAAATTGATGAACATTTTCGCCAGTATCGGAGTGAATCGATGGACAAAACAAGGGCACAAATTGCTGCCATTGGTTGGCGCAATCTACGACTACAAGCAATCCTGAAACTTTTGGTGAAAAAATTGGAAATGTAGAATTTTTGAAGGGTAATACATATGTACATATGTAAATAAATATGTAATTCTTTATAAATATGTAATTACTTTTATGAAAACACCGAGATTTCATTACTCTTGCAAAGTTAAACTACAAAAATCCAGTTAAAAAAATTGTACAGATGTACATAATCTGAATTGCAGATCAGGGGCATATTTTAACATATGTACATACACACTCCGTGATAATAATAATTTAGTGATAACTTCTCCCTGGGCTGGTAATAGCTTGATTCTGAGTGGTGTTTCATTACCACAGCGGAGTATTTTTTCACCATGCGGTAATGCGCATTATTACCGCGCCGGTTAAATCATGCACTCCCGTTGGTGGTGATTAAATACCGTTTTGCTAAGAGTGTAAATTTTCGTTGTGAGATGGTAGCTCCTTCCGTCTACACAATAGGGGTTAATTCTTCGCGCATTTGTGTAAATTATAATCGGCGTGGGAAAAACTCTCAGCCGCATCCACTTGCTCCAAGTAATCCATACATATGTAACTAAACAAAAATATTTACACGGGAGTTACAATAATATGTATGTATCAATAAATATTTGTCTCATTTAACCAAACCTGCAAAAATTTTATTATCGGGACGTTCATACATTACGTCATCAAAAAGGTGGGTGCATAGTTTGGGTCGTCTACCTTATTTGTGTTAGGCTTAACATGATTAGAATTAGGGACGTTGTGGGTGATAGATGGACAAAAAAATGGCGTTTTATTGATAACGAAATGTATGGATGTTCCCTCAATGTACATATTTACACGCTCCAGTTGTTAGCTCCATGAACTAATGAAATCTCCGATTTGATAGCTTTTACACTCATTTAAGACACCCGCCGAATATGCCATATTTAATTATTTAAGAAGTTCTTTTCTTAAAGTGAGATTTATATACAAGAGAAGGTTCCCGACTGCTACCGGTGTTCTGGGTAGGCACCATGTTTTTTAGAGTCTACTAGGACCCCAGATGAAGGATCCATCCATATTTACGTGCAAAACTCATATTTGGCGCCGCGCCGTGACGCCACTAGCGTCAAATTAAATGTTTTTTAAAATTCATTTTTAAAACTGACATAATTTTAGAAATCCTTCAAATCTTCAAATTTTTTGAATAAAATCACGACAAAGAGTTATACTTTCGTATGTCATGAAATTTTAAATAACCCCCACGTCGCCAAGCATGAGTTTTGCAGGTAAATATGACTGAATCCTTCATCTGGGGTCGGACTTATGTATGTATTTATTACATACATACATTCTAAAAAAACATGGTGCATACCAGAGAATAAATCTTGCAGGCACCCGTCTATAAGCGGTGCGACCAACATTTAATCCTTGGTGCATATCCTGGGCACGCGTAGCAGTCGGAAACTGCTCCCTGTCAGAAAAAAAATATTATGTATATCTTACACCATTTCCGATAAACATGGGTTTCTTGAAGTATTTACACATATCTTGATATATATAAACGTAACATTTTGTAATATAAATTTGAAGAAGATCTTATCAAATGCTAGAATTTTTAACTGGCCAAGTTAAATTTTTTTTACCATGGATAAATAAAACATCAGCAACCACGACATCCAAAGATTAAGTTTTACTTGATTACGCAAAGAACAAGCTTCCATGCGGTTGCATCACGCTCAACTAATTCAATTTTTTAATTATGCAAACCTACATACATATGTAACCGGATAACGACTCATGATTTCCTATGTGCACAAAAGCGTGAGAAACTTAGACTGGTTAGGGAACCATCATAAATTATGTCATCAAAAAGTTGGTTTCGGGTCGCCTATCTTGCTTTTATTCAGCTTAACATGAGTAGAATAAGGAAGAGGTGGATGAGTGGTTTAAAAATCGGCAATTTTTTGATGACGTAATATATGAACGTTCCCTTATGGAAATTCACCAATCTAAAAATCATCATGCTCTCAAGAACTATGTAATGTACTTATGTATGTTACGTTATACGTAATTGCATAAGTATTTTAATTAAGTTACTAATTAGTTACATATTTACATACATATAGATTAGAATCTTGTTGTGCAACTTTGCACATTTTATACATTTCATCACGTTAATGTATTCAGGTCTGATTTTATGTATGTATGTCGCAACGGGCATCGTAGCTCCTGTAATTTTGCACACCTTGCATCGCATGAATTTACATGGTCTCCCTCTGGCCATACTTTGCTGCATATTTTTATGCAAAATTTACCTAGTTTTCTGCTTAAATATTTTTGGAAGTATACATATTTATTTACTAATTGTAAGAATGGGTAAGTAGGCTATGTCCAGCCAAGATTACAGTAGTTTTGACCCAACTTGATTTGAAAGACCAACTTTTTAGAAACGCTATTGAACTTGAGTAAATAGACGTGCAAAAATTAAGGGAGGGTTCCGGGCGTCACAGGTTCGCGAAAACACCCGGTTTTCTCCATCAAGCTGCTGCCGCAAGTACAAATTACCCTCAAGCACCGCGCGTTTTCTCGAACCTGGGGCCCCAATAACGCTCTGATTTATGCTAACTTGTGCAAGTTGCGTTATAAATTAGTAAATTCTCAAACCATACCTGTTCAAAAATTTAGTTGTCATTCAAAAGTCAGGGAGTGAACAGAATGTCTCAAACTTAGGTGGTGAAATAACATTCTGGGTTGAACATGCTTTGCACCGCCTACTTTCGGTCAAATATAAATAAGAAATCAGTTAATAAAATCCTAAGGAAAATTCAATGAGGGAATACACGTCACGGCCCGCATATATCGCATACGTACATAATACACATTTGGGATAGCAACATAATTTCGAAGTTTTGAGAAATTTGGGACATTTCGAAAAACCTAAGCTTAATAACCATAGGATCCTTATCTGAAAGTTTATCCAGCAAATGGGCATGTTTTTATTTAGCAAAATTACCTGGGTTGAACATGGTTTGCGTCACCCTTTTGGAGGATTATTTTAATACATACGATCTTTGCAATGCCAGGTATTGATTCCCTTTGAATCAAAATGAACTTATGACATCAAGTTTTTTTTTTCGTTTTGTCAATTTTTTTTTAGAAATTTCATGCAAATTTTATCCGCGCAGGTCACAAGGTCATTTTTTAGGAAAATATTTAGTGAACCACAAAAATGTCATATTTAAAAAAAATTCATATCAGCCAAAAATCATTAGCAGACCAGTTTCCGATGCATATGCACGTGTTTGGGAAGCCCGGGGAAGTCCTGAATCAACTTTTCTTAATAACTGGCTAATTAAGTAAATACGTAGCGATTAAGATGATACACAGCTTGATTTTCGCAATTTTCCAAGTCGACTTTTCCAAACAGATACATATGTTCATATATAAATAATCTGTTTCGCAAATACATAATAATGTACAAATACCACTTAATTGTGTGCATGTACATATGTAAATATTCCCACAGCTTTAATTGTCTACTGTACAGTATGCATATTATACATGTGTACGTGCACACATGTACATAGATACATACGTATGCATGTGAAACTAGAGATTACAACACATTATACGTCACGCTTTACATAATTTCCTGGAGCTCAAATTAATTACGTATTTCTTAGGAGGGGAGCTTGCGAGGTTGATAATAACAGATCTTGATGCCCTTTGGATATGTTAAATGTAAAATGATGTAGTTATGAAATTGTTTTATGTATTTTTGTAAATTGTTGAGTACGCGTCTATAATTGCCCCGAGACGTGGTGGTGGTTGCCATGGTGACGTCAGGGTGGGATTTTTGGGTGCGCGTCTCTCTTTGTTAAGTCGTAGTAAGTAAGTAGGTAGAAGAATTCTACACAGTCGAGTTTTAGTCGTTGTCAGAGTCAGACATTTTGGATTTAGTCGTCGTGGTAGGAAATCAAGAGTAAGAATTGTTAATTCTTTGTAATTGATGTCCACGATTAATTTGTTAATAGTTAGTCACCAATCAACTCGTGTTAGTGCAGAGCTCTGAATTGTGTTGACAATTAGTAATTTGTTGGAAATAAAATCTAGTTTAAGTAGATAAAATAATCGTATATTCACTCAAGTCACTTTCTTTAATTCCAACGAGCAAGGCACAATTAAATATTCGTAAAGACACTATACTCCGGGTAGGTGATAGCTTGGTTTTTACAGGATATGTGGTAGGGACCCATGAGTGTACTAAAGCCCTGAAGTGGTTTGACTCCATGGCCACATTTGCGCCCGCCACACCCACTCAAAAATGCCCAAAAAACGCTTTCACTCCAGTTTTCAGTCACTCAAATCCACGCCAAAAATCCAATCTTACTCGGATTTTGAAATTTCTTTCACCATTATACTCCCAGATAGTTGCTTTCTTCAATCCAATATCAAACTCAATTTTTCGAAATTTTTAGTATTTTTAAAATTTAAAATTCTGAATGAGCAATGTTGTAGTAATCAACAAAACAAATTATATTTGCGAAATAATCATCAATAAAATCGAGTTTGATATTGTATTGAAGAAAGTAACTATCTGGGAGTATAATGGTGAAAGAAATTTCAAAATCTGAGTAAAATTGGATTTTTGGCGTGGATTTGAGTGAGTGAAAACTGGAGTGAAAGCGTTTTTTGGGCATTTTTGAGTGGGTGTGGCGGGCGCAAATGTGGCCATGGAGTCAAACCACTTCAGCGTTTTAGTACACTCATGGGTCCCTACCACATATCCAAAGGGCATCAAGATCTGTTATTATCAACCTCGCAAGCTCCCCTCCTTAGTATAACCCTCTTACACAATTAGTTCGTTATCTCTTATATGTACACTCTTAAAAATAATGTTACCCTTTTGAAAAATAAGTACACTTTAATTTTATATAAAATAAACTATCCTAATTCCAGAGTAAGGTTTTCTTTTGATCAAGTTAACATTTCAGCTTTTCCAAAGGGTAATATTATTTTTAAGAGTGAAGGTATATATAATTCATCGTATTTTGTATACCTAGACACGCGTGAACGTAACCGGTCACACGGACCCGGGGATCACATGAGCTCTCAATTTGTGCGACGCTAAGCAAGGTCAAAGCTGTTGTTAGACAACAATCAGTAAATTTTTCTTGGGAACAAATTCACGCTCGTGTAACTTTTTATGTAAATAGATCAAATTTCCTTGCTATAAAATAAACCGACTCGAACATGGACTCGATCAATTGTTAAGCTACCTACGTACATACCGGGCTTAACATAATTTAGCAATTTACTTAAAAAAGAAGACAGAGAAAATATATTTCTTGAAAATATAAAACATCTTACAAATTTCGGACCACCATGTACAAAATACTTATACAACTTACGTACCGAATGGTACCGGCTTTGGCCACGATACTCGACATTTTTGATACACTACTGTCAAAAATTATAGGGACGTCATCGCCCGTAACGAAAAGGTGAGAACTGTGAACAGAATCTAGAATTCAAATTTTTTGAAAATTTTGAATTACTAAAATTGATTTTTTTTTTTAATTTAGAATCGAAAATAATTTTAAAAGAATCCTAACCACTGAACTGTTTACCCCGGAAGGTGAAACCTTGTTCCGTCCAACCTTTCAAAAATTGAAGCTAGATTTGAACCAGGTTTGCGAAAAATGGGACCTTGTCGAATCAATTGATTGGTTCGAGAACGTTTTAGATTATAATGTTCCACATGGAAAATTGCAGAGGTCAGAATTGATAATTTTATCAATTTTACATACATTTTACATAAATTTTGAATGCTTTTTAAAATATGTATTTATGCACATCGAAATAAAAATGCAATGAGTATAATATTTTGGTTTTGACAACTTCAGGGGACTTCTGCTCGTAAATACGTTCAAAGCATTGGCCAACAATCCTACTGAGGAACAAATTCATTGTTCTCGCGTTCTCGGATGGTGTGGCGAGTTGGTGAGTAAAATTATCTTGTTATTTTTTAGGGTGAAGAACATGCACATGCACTGTAAAAAATTGGGTAGTCACAAATAGTTAAATTATGTATGTATTTGTGCGTTTCACCTCATTTCCATCAATCTCACTATGTCCATTTTCGGCGATTTCATATTGAATAAACCAATGTCTCTGGTGAATGTATCAAACTATGTAAATGAGATGACTAACACAAATAATTCTACCGTACATGCATACATATTTTACCGCAGCGACATGGTTAACCGGAACTAGAAGTATTAAGTATTTATTTACATTCAGATATTTAAAGGATAGCCATCGCATTTGCTCAGATTTCGTGGTGCCAACGCAATCAAGATTTTGATACTTGAATTCTACATATATAAAATTTCATTCTGACCAAGTGAGCACAATTCGGACTCGTTTTGCATACAAGAATAATTAGTTTAGATATGTGATAGAAAAGGTCCAAGTTATGAATTGCAAGACAAATTGCAGTAATGAAGCACATTTGAAATTATATATGAATTATGGAAGGCATTTTATGAGTAGGCGAAATTCTTCGAGGGAAACATGCACAAAATTGTGTCTAATTTTAATGTACATACCATAAAAATTAGACTGAAGTCGGTATTTAAACCGATTATATAATTATGTAGCTAGTAATCGCTGTTTCTTTTAAAATTTATTTTCAAATTAATTAGGAATTAGAATTGTTAACTTGGTTAGTACCAATTAAAGTTAATTAGGAATTAGTAATTACTTAGTTCATGCACTGTCATTTAAATAAATTGCTTAGATTAAATTAATTAATTAGAAATGACTGACAAATTTACATCTGCATAAATTTTCAGTTGCAATCTTGCTCTCTTGTGGCGGATGATATGATGGATTCTTCCCCCCTGAGGAGGGGACGCCCCTCCTGGTACAAGGTTGACTCTGTAGGAATGAACGCCATAAATGACGCCTTTTACCTGGAGTCCAGTGTTTATTACCTGCTCAAAAAATATTTCGGGGGGACCCCAGTTTACACCGATTTAGTCGACGCATTCCATGAGACTACATTGAAAACGATTTTTGGGCAGAATCTTGACGTTATGGCGAGCAAAAAGAAATTAGAGGACAGGTGAGATTAATTGAATTAAGTAATTAAAAAAAAGCATTTTAAAAGTATTTAGCTTTGGGAGTCTTTGGGAATTGATTATCGGAGAAGTTGATTGATAAGATTTATCATTCGTTGATAAAGCCTAGTACCCACGATGATTTTACACGCGAAATTACATGGTCAAAGTCTGTTAAATTTTTCGAATTTTTCGCTTTCTGTTATAAGAGAGCAGAAAATACCACTTGTCCACGAATATTTTGCATAATTTTTACCTGAAGATTCTCAGGTGGTTTCAACTGAAAAATAAGTATCACTGCTCCCCAGTTCTCAATAATCCCACTAATAATCAATAGTGGTATTCGTAGTAACCAATTATAATCGTGAGGACGATTATAATCACAATCGATTATAATCATATACCAGATTATTGTTGTATTTTGATTATTTTCCCTAAAATATCCAGCAGGATTCATTAAATAGTATAATATTTAGCAACGGCTACTTTTTCCAAAATTGCATTTGGATCAAGGATTATAATCCAAATAATCGTCCTCGGAGAGGACTATTTTTTTGACGATTATAATCACATTGGTTTATTTTTCCCCATAGAGAATTTTTGGGTGATTATAATCGATAATGATTATAATCGCAATAATCGGTTACTGTGAATACCACTAATTACTATGCAAACAAAACTTAGAATTTTAGATTACCTACTTTTGTCAGTTACGCGTGGTTTTTAATCATGATTGAATTTTTGGCAGGTTCAAGATGGAAAGTTTTTCAAGAATCGCAAAGTACAAGACGAGCTACTACACTTTTGTGATGCCCCTTCGACTCGGAGCTATACTCGCGGGTTTGAAGGATTCCAAGCTTTACGGAAAGATTGAAACTATTGGGCTCCTGTTGGGCAACATTTTTCAGGTATGACCATAGACATTTTATTAATGTGGATGTATCAACGCTGTTTACCAACTTTTGAAATCGGTTTAAAATTTCGAAGGGTTCCTTTGAAAAATTCAGATTTTGACTAAAAATAAATTACAAAATCTTGCCACATTTAAAAAGACTTGCATTTTCATCTGTATTTTCTTGATACCGTAATATACGGACGTCCCCAAAAATTTTTATTTTGAAAAATTCAATATCTTAAGCCTAGTTTTCAGGATGGATTTGTGGCACGAAACGACAGGTTTTTTCCCTTGTGCTTAACTCCTTGTAATTACTTGAGTTTCACTTCAAAATTTATCAAATTCCTCAAATCAATTGCAAAATGTTACTATTACTATGTGGTCTCTTATTCTCGTTTTTTTCTAAACATTTTCTCGAAAATCCGTCATGGTCATCAATAGACTTTATTAACCACATCGCATGTACCTGGTGTCCACACTAATCATTTATTTTCTAGGCACAAGATGATTTTCTGGACGTTTATGGCGACCCAGCTAAGACCGGAAAGAAGGGAACCGACATTTCCGAGGGGAAATGCACGTGGCTAATTTGCAAAGCCATGGAACTAGCGGACCACGATCAGCGTGCCATTCTTGAACAAAATTACGGGAAACAGGACGATGAAAGTGTGCTCATCGTGAAGTCAATATTTCAAGAGTTGCAAATTGACGAACGTTTCCGTCAATATCGAAGTGAATCGATGGACAAAATAAGGGCACAAATATCATCCATTAATGGACGCAATATAAGATTGCAAGCAATCTTGAAGCTTTTAGTGGAAAGACTGGCAATTTAGAGTTCTAACTTTAATGCACAATTTTCAATATTGCAATGTTTTAGATACAAGAATTTTAAGAAAATGCGGAGAAAATTTAGTTGCTAAAAATTGTAAGGTCGTGCAGATCAAGAGAGTCGTTTAATTTGGGGAAAAGTTTGTAAGATATTTAAATGTGTAAATAGTTTCGTAATTTTAAGAAATTTAAAAATGTTAGAAAAAATGGCTGAAAAATGTAAATAAAGTACCGTCAATAAGACGGATAAAATGAAGTAAAGTATTCCCTAAAGTTTAAGAGTCTTTTTTTGCACTCTTAATAACCTGGTGTTAATGGCGCGTTGACAGTTTATCTCACCTAAAGGTGAGAAAATTAATGCCAGCCAGTGACAATTTGTCTCCATGCGGCAAGATTTTTCTCCATTTGGTGATTTCACATATGCACGCTGCGCGGTAACGATATGGAATTTTAAGAGTGGTCCTTACTAAAGTAAGGTATTTTAAAATGGATGTAACCATATTTCCCGGCGGTAGGGAAATACATGAAGCGCAAAATACACATTCATATTATTAAATACTACTGTATTTGAAATTAAAAAAAGTCATGGCAAAATTCTATTTTTGACATCTTCTAAAAGAAATTGATGTGAAAAACTTACAAAATTCTGCATAACTGATTGTACTATGTAATAATAATTTAATTTTAATTTTGTTTCATGTGCTAAAATCAAACAAGCTATTTATTTACGTTACTACTCACAACATCACCCTGCGCGAAATTCTTTTTACTTTTTGGCATTTTTGCAAAACCACTCCACAGCCTCGGCAATGCTAACTTTTCCATCCTTATTTGTGTCCGCTTCCTGGACAAACTTGGCATAGTCAATTTTATTTAAGGACGGGTCGTGAATTAGCAGAACTTTGACACCAGATTTAAATTCAGCTTCATCAATAAATCCATTTTTATCCTTGTCCATCGCCACCACGTGGATTTTCATGATTTCTTTTGCGTCATCTATCACGGCAAAGGCAGCCGTGACATCTTCCAGAACTAATTTTCCGTTGTACGAGTCCCGAATATATTCCTTGTATCCGTCCATCTGTTCTTTTGAGCACGTGTAGCCCAAGGTTTTCAGGAAAGCGTCCATATCACTGAGGTCAATCTTGTTGTCGGTAAAGGTCGGCATCTTCTTGAAGGCGACTTCCACCTCGAGGTTGGAAAATCGACGATTGTGAGCCATCTAAAAATATTTCAGAGCTTAACGTTTTATGCTAAAATGTTATACGGTGATTTTTCTTAACGAATGAGCTGCCTTGAATTATTAGCTTGGAGTACTTAATATTGAGTAAATAGTTTAGTGAAGAATTGCTATGTTAAGCTTAGTTCCCAGGACGGATTTTTCACGTGAAACAGCATGTTCTTCGTTTTGTGCTAAATTACTCGTTCACCGAAATTACTTGAATTTCACTACAAAGTCTTCCAAATGCGAGTGTTTGTTTAAACAAATGGTCAAATGTTAATTAACTTAATAGATATTCGAGCAGGGCTCAAGACCTTCTGATAAGGCCAAAATAGTAAAAATGGGGTAAAATTCCAAAATTTCTGACTCCATTTCGGACCAAGAAGTTTAATATTTTTTACTCATTATGAAATTATTACACAACTTTAATTAACAAGTAAGGGCAAAATAAAATAAAATAACACGCCACGTCTTTGTCCAGCATTGTCACGTTGATTCGCATCAGTTCCTTCGTGTCGTCAATCACGCCAAAGGCAGCGATTCCGAAGTCCATGGTAAATTTGCTGTCGTGACAGTCGCGCAAATGTTTGATGTACCCGTCCAGCTGCTCCTGGGTGCAGGTGTAGGCCATCTTCTTCAGGAAGTCGCCCACATCGGCGATGTCAATCGCGTCGTCGGAAAAACTGGGCATTTTCTTGAAAGCGTGTTCCACCTCTTCCTTTGAGTATCGCCGGTTTTGCGCCATCTGAAAATATTTTAAAGATTAGAATCTTATGGGAAAATAGTTATTTGCTAGAGATCGATGAAACAGATCTTTATAAATAAAATAACTTTTTTGCGTTTGATTATATTTTTGTGAGAAAAATTGCCCAAAATTAATTGTAAAGTTGTAAAAAAAATTGTGATTATGAATAAATTAGAAAAATTTTAAGGTCGTCTAAATCCAATCCAATTACTTCAAAATATAGAATTTTGTATTACTGTTTTTATTTAACTTTAAATCTTGTCAATGAACTCGGGTGATTATTTCTGTTATTATCTATTATTAAGTTAAGGGTTAATTTTGTTTATGTAAGTTTGTACTGGCAAGTCCATCAATAGATTCACAGATTATAGATGTAAGATAATAACAAAAATGAATGATTTGTTTCATAAATATGAAAATCTATGTATGTACAAATACCTTACTTGGTGCCGTCTGCTTTATGTGGTCAGTTACAAAAACTTGAACTTTAATCTCCCAGGAATCTAAGAAAATGAACCTAGGTTAATATATTCTTGGTTAAGCGACGAAACCAACTGTGCAGCTTCATTGAGATTTTGGCTTACTTAAATATTTAAATAAGTAGAAAGAATTCCAGACATGTCAACGATTAAAGTGCAGACTGACAAATGTATGGTTATAAATACGCCCTTAAAAATGATGCTACCATTTTGGCATACAAATATGATCTTATTAAATAAACTAAATATTCAAAATCCAGGGTAATGGTACTTTAACACATAAAAAGTAAAGTTTGCTCTGAATTTAGTGCATGTAGTTTATTTAACATAAAATTCAGATTTCGTTTACTTTTCAAAAACGGTAAAACTATTTTTAAGAGTGCATGAACACTCTCGTTATTCCTGGATTGCACTTAGGGAACGATTTATTGCTGAGAATTCGTTTATTATGTGGCTAAAGTGACAATTTGTCTTCATCCCGTCAATCTTGTTGGTCGGACATGTAAATATTTACTTTCCTTGTCGTATTGTTATTGGGCCGACCCACGGTTATGCAATCAAATTAAAGTCATGCGCAAAACTGGATTTATATAATGTACATATAGCTATTGACTCCGGATTACTAAAGTGCAACGAGATCCGGAAATATCAAGTTCATTTAGCTTATGTAACTTGACAACAGACAATATATTGAAATCCAACTTGTCTCAAGTTTTCCTGCTCACTTTCATTTTTTAGCAGATCACGATGTGAAGGATTTATTGGCAATGAACCGAAATGCTTGCGTAAGTTTAGTTTAGTTTTGCCCTGTCAGTTTTGTTTTTCTCTGTCAAAGTAATTTATTTGAAGTATTGTCAAGGTAAACAAAGCAATTACAAAGTATTCGGTTAAATTTGTAAAAAAAATATTCAAAGATTGTATCCTAAACTAGAATTTTAAACCGAGGGTAACCGAGAATGGAACATCGTATGCATTTATGAAATTCCTCTTTGTTCACTTACATAAATACGTATTCTTCCCATAATCATGAATCTATGTATGTATACAAATAAATTAAGCCGATAAGTTTAAATACACAATTTAAGTAAGGCATTTGCTTCATGCACGTTTTCGATTTTCTTCGGAGCCGATATTTCATACATATGTATGTAGGTAAATATATATCAATTCTTACTGGCCAAAATCATACATAATAATCAGAGTTATTAATAAACATATTGACGTATGTATGTATAAAATTAATGATTGACTCATTCCATTTTACTCAATATCTTTTACACGTATTCAAGTAGATTGGCGTGTTTATACAAGTATGTACTTACATACATATCTATTTATACATACCTACATATGCAATATCATTTCGCACTCTCGTTCTCCGTTGGATTTACATAAATATAATAGGTCCAAACTAAATTCTGCATGCATACGTGCGCTTTCACTTGGTTCCGTAGTGGATGACTACAAAACAACAGTGAGGCATTTGGAATCCACTTTCGCATAAATAAATTTTCACCAAAAATGTGTTACCTGTTTAACTACTTAATTAAATTGAAGTCTAGGTCAACCCCTTAAAAGTCTAAAGTTCACTATCTGCTTTGTCGCAACATCACATGTATCACACCACATTTAACTTAACACGTTAACAGTGTAAATCAACTGTGTTAATAGAATGACTTAAAAATACATATTCATGGACATGTCTTTCAGATCTGCGCTGCCCAGGCAACGACAAAGTCTGAAGTGCGTTAATCGCATCACCCATTTAGCTAATACCTGGTAATATGTGGATAATGAATCATGCAAATAATGCTAATTAGACACCGCTTAATCCGTCCACTTGGCCTCACCTGGAAAATGAAAAAGTGAATGAGAATGAGCATGATTTGCAAAATAATGACACGGGAAAACCTTTTATACACCATGTACCTAGCGAATATGTTAAAATCCTGCATATAAAAGATGGCTTTACTCACGTGCACATTAGCACATGAGCTTGAACTAGTCAAATTGTATTTATTTTGGGCGCCGTCTTTTTAAGAAATAAGTTAAAGTAAGAAAATGGATATTTTCAAGTTTTTTCATTGCACAATCTCAATAACGTTGCTATTTTTCGAGAATTCATGCACGCAAGGAAAGCGTAAGTTTTAAATTTAATTTATTTTGCAATATTTAAAAAATCAGTTGCATACGTGTGTTAAAATATTTCACTTTTTTCTTAAGTATGAACCACGCTTATATAAAAATAATGTCGCCCTTCAGAAACGTAGATGTGCTGTGTATTTCATATCAAACTAAATTTTATATTATTTAAGAAAACCATGCTAAATCCAGAGTTAATTTACTTAACTTGATCTGGAGTATGTAAAGTTCGCTCTGGAGTAAGTACAGTTTACAGGGCATTTACTTTTCAAAATTGTGACACTATTTTTAAGAGTGACTGTAATGAGAAAATCTAATTATTAAAAATAATCATTCGCCATTTAGGTGTTCCCCGAGTTGTGAACGGATTCAGCAGTTACGCCCCTCACCAAGTTAGTCTAGTCGACACGGAAGCTAATTCGCACTTCTGCGGGGGCTCGATCCTCAATTCGCTCACCATCGTTACCGCGGCGCATTGTATGTACCGTCGTAATCGTTGTGATGAACCGCCAACATCGACCATCCCGCGAAAACCGAATGAAATTCGTGTCGTCGCGGGACAGTACAGTCCCCAACTGCGCGACGCCACAGAACAAGTCAGGCAGGTCAAGGTCCTCCGAGTTTATGGCGGATTTGACGAAAGCACGCTGGAAAACGATATTGCCCTCATTCAACTGACCGCACCCCTTAACGTTAACCGATTCGTCCACCCGATTCGACTGCCCAATCTAAACAGACAATTTAAAGGTTGGTTAGAAATTATGGTCGTAAATGTACACAAAATGAGTGGCATCTTTCTCTTAAAAATACTGCGGATATCCATTACAATTCTGCATATTTGGATTGTAACAAAATTTAATAAAAGAAGTAAGTACATAGCCTGGCCTGTTAAATTTGCAAATTAATTTTTAATTCCTTTCTTTGCGAACTTATGAACTTGTTTTTTTGCGAATGATTAAGTGGCCTGGCCTGTTAAATTCGAAAATTAATTTCCAATTCATTTTTTGCGAACTTACGAACTTGTTTTTTTGCGAATGATGCGAATTCGCAATCAGTACATATCCCTCTGTACTTACTTATGTGGAAAGTATTTAGATGCACTCTGAATTCTTAATTCTCATGGATTTTGTAAATAGACTTTGCTTAATTTAGAATTAAGAGACCATTTACTTTTCAAAAGATCTAATTATTTTTAATAGTGCAAAAATATTTATGTATGAAGTAAATTTTCCTTACAAATTTTACATCATGCAGGAAATGTAACGGTGTTCGGATGGGGATCCAATCGTGTCAAGGACTCTGGGTTTACCGCCCATTCTATTCCGACCACACCGGAAACCCTGCAATCCGGGGTGATGTCAATCATCCCAAGTAACGAGTGTCTTCGCGGTCTCGATTACTGGACTGGATTCGATAACCAAGTCATGTTTTGTGCAAAGTCGAATAAAACAACGATTTGTGCAGGTGTGAAATTGTGAATATTATGTAAAATTATATTATCAACGCACTCTTAGAAATCCGATATCAATGAGATATTATCACGAGGTATTATCAATGAGGTATTCATATTTGTATGACTCCACCAAAGTGGTATCGCTGGTAAGTAATATTGTTAGTAATAGCTCGGTATTATCATATCGGCAGAAAAGTTTTACGGACCGGCAAGATTTTAAGTAATACCACGCGGTAGTAAATACATACATAGCTTTTATATCAAGAAATAAATACTTGCCAGATTATGTATACCATATTTCTAAGAGTGTATGTATTTTATGCTATGCATTTTAGGTGACTCTGGGTCTGGCGCCATCTGCCAGTATTGCGGTCAATCGATCAATACCATGGATTCCGATACTGAGGCCAGCAGCACTCAACGCGCCTGCATCGATGTTCTTTGCGGCATAAATTCTGCCGGTAAAAATGGGATGGATTGTTTAGTTGACAAAGACGGAAACCTCTACAATTCTCCACCGCCCGCCGTTTTTACTAAAGTTTCCGTATTTCCGACCTGGATTAACTCCATGCTCCGCACCGAATTCAAAGTAAATGACATTGCGATGGATATGTTGACTGTAACGATGGCTCAGACGAGAATAATTGTACCCTTGCTGATAAGACAGAAGAAGTGACGTATACCCCGTTTAAGTGGGACGATGCTAAACCCGTGACAATTTTAAGGGATGAAATTGGACAAACGTCTGGAAATGATGCCAATCTAACAAGTAAGAATGCTACACACTTTAAAATACATTACACCATTTGAAAACTAAATACATACATAATTCTATATCATGTAAGCTATCCTAAACTCAGTGCAAGGATAGGTTGATAAAAAGTTTTGGTAAGTTATCTAAGTCGATAAGTTGACAAGTTTGCGCTGAATTTCTAATAGTTTACTTAATGCAAATCCAGACTGTATTTATTTTTTTAAATGGATATCATTATTTTTAAGAGTGTACCCATAGTGCAGTACGTAATTATGCACGTATTTATAAATAAAGATTTTTTAAATATTTGACATTAGTATTTATATAATATTTATATTTCCAGGAACCAACGACACCGTTGAGGCCGATCCGGACGATTACAATTCTTCGAATGAATTAGATAACGAAATATTGAATCTTATCAGAAATTTTAGCAAAATCACAAATAGGACAAACAATTTCGAACCGATACCCGCCTTTACACAAAACTTTACACGTACCGATAACACCACAGCAAATGAGTCAGACACGCCGCAGAGTGAAGAAGATGACACTAATAACTTCACATTTCGACCCGTACGAGCGTTTACGACTGAAACGGCAAAAATGGAAGCTATTCTTACTACTGCTAGTGACATCTTGTTAAATAATGCCACAAATTTGCGGGAAACCCAACTTTCACCTAATTTCATCTCGGAATTTGTCACCGCTTCGACACAATCGCAATTTGGTGATGCACCCAATAAGACTGATATCTCAACTTCCTCTTCCACGTGGTCCTGTGCGTATGATTACAAAGAAACACTACCAGAATTGGAGAGAATCGAATTGGAGAACAAAATTAAAGCGTGTCAAAATAATCAAGGGTTCCTCTGTCCCGTTAGTGAAGCGTGTATTAAAGATTTTTGTCTTTGCAATGGCGTCAGCGATTGCTACGATGGAATTGATGAAAATCTGGAAGACTGTAATGCTAGAAATTCAATGCATAAATAGGTGATATATGTAATTAATGACTAGATATAATTCATTTAGATGATGCGTAGATATTTTTAATTTAAATTTCAATAAAATCATTTGGTGAGGAACAACTCTAATGCTATTTTTACAAACACACTACCACACTACATACATATTGACCGCTTATGTACATAATAGATACATAGAAATATGTGTATTTACATGACCAATTATCCCTGATGGTATCAACTGAAATAGTATTCATAATCCAAATATATTTGCATATCTCATATCATATTCATGTACTGTTGGCGATAAAAATATATTCAGCGTTTCTACCCGTTAATCACAATAATTATTGATAAAAATTTTGTGAAACGGTTTATGCGAACTATTAAAAATAGTTTTATTTTGCTTCACCGAGCTTTTTACAAATAAATATTGTCTTCATGGTTAAATGATATAATTGTTTTACAATAATAATTATTGTAGTATGATGATTTATGTATGCATACCGAGAAATTAGCACGGATTGAAATTAAACAAATTAAAAAATGAGTTAAAAATCTACACAGTAGTGAGATAATCATTTAGAAGGACAACTAATATCGCCTTTAATTTGTGCAGCATTTCAATTCATAAATATGTGCACATATGTATCATATATTCATAAATATTTCCACGTTTGTTGACAAGTCATAGGATAAACCATGTAAAATAATTCAGAGCCGAACAAAGAAAAACGACATTTAGTATGTGGAAGCGGAGTCATTCGTCTCAACATTTGCAGAGCGAAATAAATGTTTTAGTCAACACCTGATCGTCCTCCACAAATGTTCATGTCACATATTGCATATCTTATTAAACACAAATTAAATATGAAATAAAACTGAGAAATTGTACAGGCAGGTAAAAATTAATCGGTCATTGATTCAAAATTAGATCTGTGACTAATTGTTTGATTTTCACCTGGCAAATGTCTCAAGATTGTGTATTAAAATTTGAAAACAAAAGATTAATAGTTTGTATTTTGTGCAAATAAAGTGACACTGAGGATGGCTCTGTACCAGGAAAATACACAGGATGACTCAAGCCCTGACCCGGTGGATATAGAGAATTGGATTAAAATCGAAATTAAGGCTGAGGAAGAAGACGACACTGACCTTCCCTCGACATGGGACCCATTTCCTGGTGCTCGTATGACACAATTGTGTCAAGCAAATGTCGAAAATGTGCAAACTTCAAATTCGGCCGGTGATAAGAATAAGGTAGTTTGCCACAATTCTAAACATTTGGAGGGTAGTTTCGGCACTCTCAGACCGTTCGCCACGAAATGTGGTAGCCCACGGAGGAGAAGAAATGTAAAGAAGGTATGTATGTGTATGTGCTCAAATTAGTGTACATATTTAAGAAATATGTACACTTAAATATGTATCTGAATAAATATCATTTATGCAGATATTTATGAGAATTTCATAAATTTTGGTTATTAGGTATACCGATAAAATACCACTAACTCTAATAGAAATTTTCTCCATTTAATTATCCTCGACTTCCGTAAGATCTTAGAAAATCGTGAGAAATTAAGCCCTTTTGAAAGTTTTAGGAACTTTGTTAGACAAGGGAAAACCGGATTTTATGTATGTATGTATGTATAAACCATCAACGTATTTCAATAATGTTGGAAGTATTGAAAAGTATTGGTCCGTGCATAAAATCTGCATTGTAAAATTGAATATTTACGGGATGCAGTGGTATGCATTCTGGTTTTTCTGTCCAGGATGATTTCCTGGTTTTTATGCTTTTGTAGTTTTTATTTTACCATGGCAACGGTTACACCATAACACACATTGCAGATAAGCATCAATTTGAAGTATCCTCCCTTATATTTACAGGAAGAGCCACTTATCGCAAATGAATGTGAATTTGAAATTCATCCCTTACTTCAATGCTCATTTCCCACCTGCGACAAGATATTCACATCACAAGAATCCTTAGATAAGCATCATCGGACCGTACACCCAGCAACACTACTTCCGTGCTATTTTTGCGATGCGACGATAAAGTCCAGTCAACAGCTTATGTATCACATGTGGAGCCATCACACCGTTGAGAGACCATATTCATGCAAGGTTAAGGGTTGTCGGGCAGGATTTTGTGCTTCGTATCAACGTAACCGTCATTTTGTAAGACAAATTGAAATAATGACAAATAATATTTAAAGGGGTAAATTGCATTCCAAATCTATTTTTGTAGAACGCAAATCACACTAAAACAAAGAAAAGGAAGCGATTCTTATGCGATCAATGTCCGAAAGAATATTTGAGTGCTGAGACCTTGAAAAATCACGTTGAATTTGTGCACACAATTTCTAAACGGTTCGAGTGTTTAGTGTGCAAGAAGCTATTTCCTAGAAAAGCTTATCTTGAAGATCACACCAGAGTCTCTCATACGGGAGAGAAGCCATTCGCCTGTAAGTTCTGTGATTATAAATATGGTCGACGCAACACTTTGTCAAGACACGTGAGATTAAAGCACCCAAAGAATACGACAGGAGATAAGTAATTGCTAAATATTAAAATCCAACCGGATGATTATGTAAGCGTCCGGTTTAAAACGGGTGTAAATTTTTACCACTTAAGTATCTAGAAACGTAAATCGTATAAATATTTAGGGTTAGTTTTAACCCCAAACTGTCTAATTAATGCTAGATCAGTAAATTATATTAAGCATTTAATTTAGGTCCGTACTGTGTTGCAAAAGCGTTTCGTTAATTATAAAATGTTCAAAATTCTATTGCCCAGAGTTTATATAAGGAATAAATATGTATTGACATACACATACACTTTAATACATTCGTATAGTAGTGTCCATAAGCATTGAATATAATTTCATTCATGATTATTTCATACCAGCCACTACGTACATATGTATTTGTTATGTAAATGTAACTTACATATTACGTAATTCATATATTCATACATACATTATCTCTAACAGTAAATATAAAGACGCAGTTGATCATTGATGGGTAAGAACCTCAAGTTTTTCTCAACGTTTCCGGTCAAAACTACGAAATTAAAATCGAAATCATTGTTCATAAGTCCATACCTATGCATTTCATTTCAAGCAATTCTAATATCTACAAACATGCATGAACTAAAGGATGTTGATTTAATTCGTCCCGATTTTTTCTGGACCCCGAAACAAAAATGGATGCCGAAAATTAGGACAAAGTTAAAATAGACTAGAGAAGGGCATGAGTAGTATTAATTATACCAATATTAGCAATGCATTTCTGATAAAAAATTGACCTCGAAGTGTTCACGCTTTTTGACATACAAGTTTTAAAATATTGAAAGAAGAAATCGGTACGAATTAAATCAACGCCCTTTATATTTTCATAACATAAACCGTGCACGATTTTCCGGCCTGCAAATCCAACAGATCTCGCACTGCGTCTTCTTCCCCGCTATTTCTGTCCCCACTTGTCACCCGCAATCCCAACTCGCGCCCCATTCTCAGCCATTCTTTCAAATTTCCATTCGCACCAAACGCTTCCCAACGCGGATTCAAATTTGGAAACGTGGCCACAATTTTATCGAAAAAGTTGGAACAATCTACAACTCCGAAGTCGCATTTCTCCTCATAATTTTGCGACCATGCCGGAATTCTAAAGTTCTTCGTATACTTGGGATTGAGCGGAATGTGAAGCTCTCTTAACGTGAAACATTCACCAAACAGAAAATACTTAAATAAGAATTCCGCACAAATTTCGAACCATTCCCCGTCCGAGAAGTCATCCTCTACAAAATGCATTTCAAATTTATTGAGTTCTGAAACGTCCAATTTTTCCAAGACGGGAAATGTCTCGGAATACACTCGCCTTTCACAAAATTTTAAATGAACCGATGGAAATTTTACGTTTCGTCCGACCCCCAAAGAATCTCGTGATAAATTGATTTTGAGAAATTTTAACCTTGGCAACACCGCTGGTAACGTTATTGTGACCATTTCCATTGCACTAGTTGAGCTATGGGAAATGTATCGAAGCCCAGTAATTTGTAATTTTTCCACACTTCCAGCAAAAGTGGCGAGAATTAGGTCATAATCGGTGGGATAACTGGACACATGGATTTGAAATTCTATCCGGGTCAGAAAAACGGACGGGTTAAGGATCGAGATTGGTGCTGGAGTATCGAATCGGATTGAAATTGATTCGAGGCACGTGTTATTATTTTTGGAAAGAAAATACTCCACCACATTTTTTGGAAGGTTTCCACACTGTAGGATTTTAAGGTTCGGAAATAGTGAGACGATTTCCAGGTTCGATTCCATGCAGTGGGTGGAAACTAAATTTTCGTGTTTTTCGGAGGTCATGTCAAGACTGAGTTTTGCAAGTTTTGGAAAAGAGGTAAGTTCCGGGAATTTAGTGAAAGTTTCGACACCCTGCGTTCCGAAGTCTTTGGAACGAAGACGTAAAAATGTCAAGTTGGGGAAGTTTTTTAAAATGGCGGCAACCATGTGCTTCCCACGTGGAAAGTAGTTCAGATGTAACTCGGTTATTGGAAGTGTCGTGTTTTGATAGAAATTTTCTAAAAGTTGGGACTCGTGAGGGGGCAAATCTGTGAAGTTGAATGTTGAAAGAAGTACGCGTTTGTGGTGGTTTCCGCGGACACTGGTTTGTTCCATGTAGGACTCCATAATTGAGGGATCCAGCTGGATAAGGTTTCTAGAAAGGAGATGTTTTCTAGCGGCTTCTTCCCACCCGCGGGAAACGAAGGTCATGTTGTCGACGAGGTCGGTGGTTGAGATGAAGGACAGGATTTCTCGGAGGATCTGAATATTACAGATAATTGTGGAAATATTAAGTATTTAATTAATAAATTCTACCTGGGGTAAAGTGACGGCCAAGTGTGAATTTGAGATTTGGCCTTCCATACTCATCTTGGAATGATTCTAATTGACTCTAAATGTGCAAATAATTCCCAGAAATTAAAATTAAATTTCATCAAAACTGACAGATATTTATGTATATGTAACTCACCCACTGAGGTTATAAATATTTACGCGTATAATCTCACCATGTTTGGCACGATTTGAATGGGAAACAAACTTGTATTGCTGAGAAGGCAATGCTACATATTTTTAGCGTGGGCATGAATGGCTTTAGGTGAAAGGGGTTCCAAACATGTAGGTTTTACACAAATTTTTTACACATATTTACACTAGCGAATAAGCCCGTCTTCGCCGGGACACAAAAGCTACACTATCAGCGTGAAATATTGTCGGCAACGGCAAAAAAGGAAATAAATATAACAACCCTAATTAATATAGAGCTTCGTGGCAGATGTAAATTACCATGCATAATTGTATCGCATAACCCAACGATAATTATTTACGTCAATTCAAAACACCATATTGTAGCGTTAACTATATTTATTGAGAAGAGTACAAATTCATGGCGAACAATTTCAAACTTTACATATTTAATACAAAATTTAATTGATTCCAGCCAACACATGGCAATAGAAAAATTGTACTAACTCTATTGGCAATGCGCCTTCTAAGATTATACCAGTAATACATATTATTATCCTTCAAAATCTAATTTAACACCTCCTCAAATGCTACATTTTTAGTAAACACTTTATCGTTTCCTGGTATTAATTCACCTTGGACACTATTCGTAGCTACCTCCACTTTCACATCACACGATCTCCTAACGCGTGGGTGGCTCGTCCCGGCTGACGGCGGGTCGCCCACCGAGACCACCAATGCTCAGACGTTATGGGATTTGATCCCGGTGGCTCGGCCCGCCTGGGCACCTGAAGTCTTGTACCACCAATGATAGTGGAATTTGACACCTTGGCCCTAACACCATCAGATAACCTACCACAGATAATCACCCACCCTCTGATAACCACCCACCCTCTGATAACCACCCACCCTCTGATAACCACCTACCCTCTGATAACCACCCACCCTCAGATAACCACCATCCCTAGATAACCACCTTCCCTAGATAATCACCCACCCCCAGATAACTACCTTCCCTTGATAACCACCCACCCCCAGACAACCACCCACCCCCAGATAACCACCACCCCCAGATAACGACCCACCCCTAGATAACGACCCACCCTCTGATAACCACCCACCCTCTGATAACCACCCCCCTCAGATAACCACCATCCCTAGATAACCACCACCACCAGATAACTACCATCCCCAAATACCCACCACCCCCAGATAATTACCACCCCCACATAAATAAACCCACAAAGAGTACCATCGGTTATGAAATTTATTGTTTTAAACTTAATTTATTTTGAATTTTCGCGCCATTTGAAACTTGACTTTCTTTACTTTCACTTACGTTACAGAACATTTACTTTCACTTCCGTTGCCAACAGACATTTCAGGCTTATAATGTAGATAGATATTAAAAGTAAGAAAGTCAGTGCTATGTGCTATACACACATGGGGTAAGTTTTTGGGGAATCGAAGTGTCGCGTGCGAGGAAAGAGTGCGTTGATCAAAGGGTTGAATTTTGGAGTATAACCCACATTCCTAAAAATAACGCTATCCCGTCCAAAAGTAAATGTGCTCTTAGGATTAGTTTTAAGTATGTGCATGTGACTAACTAATAGTTAGTAACTAATAGTAACTATACTAACCAACTCAGGATAAGCCCTGGGTAACGTTCACTTGATAAAGAGTAAAGGTTATTTACTCTGGGTTTTGTACAGTTTGCTTTATATAGAATTCAGAGTGCAGTTACTTTTTCAGAAGCGTTACATTATTTTTAAGGGTGCAATACGTAAATACTTACATGCAATACATAAATAAATAGTTGACAATTCAAACTTGTAGTTATGTGACCAAGTAAAAAAGAATAATGTTGAACGAGTAAAATTTCTGCATGGGTGGAATTAACAATTTGATTGACAGCCCATGCATGGGCTATCATGGCCATGATATCATTATCCTAAATAACGTTAAACCTGGTATGAATCACGGGGAAATTCGACAAGACTCCTTCCTCTACGTAGTTTAGGGAACAAGGGCAGGTTTTGGAAAATCACATGCCATTACAATGTTTCAAGCTTGTCGATGCTCATCAATAACCTTGACTTTAATGGTATGCGTTTTAACCCTTTTTAAGAGTCAAATTTTTCAAAAATTCAATTTTCAATTCAATTCAATCAAAATTCAATTTTCAAAAATGGGATTCGGTGCGGATGCACGTAATCAACCGACCCAATTCTGTTTTTGATATGTACATAGATATGTCACACCACAATTTCAACATTGATGCCATACATATTTTCAATTTTCAACACAATTTATGTATTTATCACACATAGCCCCAGGCCATCGACATTGTAGCAATGTATGACTTTATTAAGTTTATATGAAACACACAGGTGTCCATCTTTTACCGAAATAATGAATCAGAAAATTAAAATTTGATAAATGGAGTATGTGTGTAACCACGTCTTCCGTTACTCCCACTCAAAGTCGAATCCCGTCCTGGCGTCGGTGGCATCACTGCTAAATCTGATCAAACCTATTCCCCCTTGTAAACTAAGGCTGGTGGGAATAGTTGTTCCACAAAACCTGACAAAAATTCAAAAGAGCTTCAAATAAATGCTTGCAATCTTAACGATTAAAATATAAACCACTCCTGTCGGTGATAATTAATCTCGGTGTCTTAGGAGGGGAGCTTGCGAGGTTGATAATAACAGATCTTGGTGCCCTTTGGATATGTGGTAGGGACCCATGAGTGTACTAAAACCCTGAAGTAGTTTGACTCCATGGCCACATTTGCGCCCGCCACACCCACTCAAAAATGTCCAAGAAACGCTTTCACCCCAGTTTTCACTCACTCAAATCCACGCCAAAAATCCAATTTTACTCGGATTTTGAAATTTCTTTCACCATTATACTCCCAGATAGTTGCTTTCTTCAATCCAATATCAAACTCAATTTTATTGATGATTATTTCGCAAACATAATTTGTTTTGTTGATGACTACAACAATGCTCATTCAGAATTTTAAATTTTAAAAATACTCAAAATTTCGAAAGAATGTAGTTTGATATTGGATTGAAGAAAGCAACTATCTGGGAGTATAATGGTGAAAGAAATTTCAAAATCCGAGTAAAATTGGATTTTTGGCGTGGATTTGAGTGAGTGAAAACTGGGGTGAAAGCGTTTTTTGGACATTTTTGAGTGGGTGTGGCGGGCGCAAATGTGGCCATGGAGTCAAACTACTTCAGGGTTTTAGTACACTCATGGGTCCCTACCACATATCCAAAGGGCACCAATATCTGTTATTATCAACCTCGCAAGCTCCCCTCCTTAGGGCTTCGTCATAGAGTTTTTGGTCTCACTCAACCCTTATTTAATGTATTCACATGGAGGTTTTATAATTGAATCAATTTCATGAGTTATGAGATAAACACAACTTTTTTTAATATTCAGAGATAAAGTTAATATTTGGTACTACAAGCAAGTGGTTTTGAAAAAAATAGCGGTTCTATTTGTTAGGAAATTTTTTTGTTCAAATCGAATTAACTAATTTTTTCAAACGACTTGCTCGTAAATACGAAAAATTAGCGTTAGATTAGAATATCAAAAGTTGCACATATCTTAAAACTCGTGGAAATAAATTAATTTTAGAAATGTTGCAGTTAAAAACGTTGAATAGGGGTAGACTGAGACTAACGTTCAAACACGTCATCCACAGTTGCCTTAAGAGTGCATAATGCTTAAGAGTAAATTGTGTTTTTATGGTTCACCGAAATTATAACCATTAAATATGTACTAGAACTTCGACCCGATAATGCTACCAATTGTTACCATCATTAGCAATAAGTTAGCTTCATATTTATGTAGGACTCACATGGCAACTTCGGTGAACTGATTATCAAACCAGGTAAACGTGCTCACACTGTCGAACCCGCATTGTCCGTTATGCTCCACATCTACCCGGGTGAATCGTAACGTTGGTCGGGACGGAACCGAGGGACAGATTGTGAACCAAGCCGTCTCACTATTGTTGTACTGCCCTCCACCCGGCGGGTAGCTGTAGTTGCCGCTCACCGCGGTCAAACTGGTATGACCGGTCAACAATTGATTGTTTTCTGCCCCACTGGAGAAAAACTGGAGGCTGAATCCGAACGTGGGCGCGTTTCCGACGTTCAAAGTGATCAAAACGTTTCTCGAAGTGACAGTGTAATTCTGGCCGACGGTTGTGCTAAGGTTGAAATAGGTGGGAAAAATAATTTAATAAAATTTTAGTTAATTTTAGTTAAGTTTAGTTAAATTTTAATTTTAATAAAAGTTATGGAAATTGTAACTTAGATACTTGTAGTAAATTTGAATTTAACATAATTTTTAATATTTGTGGTGCTATAATTTATTAAGGCAGTTATAATAACAAATTGCCCTATTATTGTAAAAAATGGCCACTTAAGTCTTTAATTGCCCCATTATTGTATCAAATTACCCAATTATGGTTGCAGATAAACCCTTTTTCCACTTTTGAACACTAACTAGTCAATTATAATTTTGGACGGGAAAGGCGAAACACTGGCCATCGTGTTATTTGGAGGCAAATATGTACCTAGCGTTTTATTACCAAATTATATTAAACTTACACCCTTTGTTGGGCCCCTGTTCCTGTGCCGGAATAACCAAAATCGGTCAGATACAGACCGTCCGTCTCATGAAGGCCGGATGAGACGAGGACGAACCGTTGATTAAGTACGGGGGCCCTCAGGGTCCAAATGCATCGCATATCTGCCCTAATTGAACCCCCGACTTGATAGTTTATTGTGCCCGATGAAGTTTCAATGTAACCGCCGCATGTCGTGACTGTGTAAAATGAACCGAAAATTTAAATAGCGGGAAATTTTGCTCGAACATTGCCATTTGTTCTCGAATTCTGACAAAATTACTGCAATTTGTCCCAAATTCAATTTGTGTAGAATTTGCGAAAAATGCGATTATATTTGCATATGTATCTAATCAAATATCTCGACAAAACGTGCCCCTTGGGACATCGAGTCTTTTGCATATTTCATATTAATTCAATTTGTGATTGATTGTCGCAATCAAACAACAAATGATGCGATAAATCCGTTGTAAGTTTAATTGAAGAACTTTGAATAATTTTGTCAGGAAATTCAACATTTTTCAAAAAATGTTTTATTATCTCATACATACATACTTATTCGAATATGGGGAAATGTGTACTACTTTATTTCAGACGTTATTTACATACTTGTCTCAACTGGGACCGGGTCCTCTGGTCGGTTGTCCTGGTACTTTTGTGGAGCACCTTGTCAAATCACAAATTAAATAAAAATGTGTAATGCTCAATTACAATCACATTGTATGTGGACACGTGTATACATAATTGCAAACCAGTATAAACTTACCCCATGCCGAAACGGCCAGCAGGACAAGAACTAAGCCCAGTTCACGATGCATTTCTTTTTAAATTCTACGTCTGAACCCATTGTCCATTAGTGGGCACAAATTTATACCAAATTCCAAAAGTGCGAATATGTACATACATACATAAGTGCCTGGCATCGTTATCATTGTGGTAAATGATAATTTGTGTCAAGTCCAAAAGCACGCAAATCCTACATATATTAGTAGAGTTATCAACTTACATAACACTATTGTACAAGTAAAACATTGAACCTGTCAAGTTGTCAGTTTGCAGTTATGTAATACAGTTATGCATCTATTTATATAAATCCACACTTACAATGAGGAAGTGTGAGGTGGTTATCGCAGATATCGACCGCACTAAATTGTTCACACTCAGAAATAAGTGGACCCGTATTTTTTTGTTTTCATGAATGGGCATGTTTACGCCCGTGACGAACCATTTAAAAAAAAAGTTTCAGCCAAAACCCGGAATTTAAAAAACGCTGTAAGTTTTTGAATTTTAACCCGATTTCAAAAGTTAGACAGAATTTTTGTGCAGAATTACTTCATTGATTTTATAAAATTAAAAAAGAATTAAATTCGATATTTTCATGTCAGTCCTGAACTTTTAGAAATGCTAAAAACGATAATTTTGTTGAAAATTAGGACTTGTTTAAAAATGAATTTTATAATTTCAGGGGAGTAATTCTGAGCAAAAATTGGGATTAACCTTTTAAATTGGGTTCAAATTCTAATAGTTTCAGGGTTTTTAAAAATCTGGATTTAGGCTGAGTTTTTTTTACAAATTCCGCCACGGGCGTGTGTAAACATGCCCATTCAGGTAAACCCAAAAATACGGGCCCACTTGTTTCTGAGTGTGAACAATTTAAAATTTGTCCGGTCGATATTGGCGATAACCACCTCACACTTCGTCATTGTAAGTGTGTATTTATATAAATAGATGCATAACTGTATTACATAACTGCAAACTGACAACTTGACAGGTTCAATGTTTTACTTGTACAATAGTGTTATGTAAGTTGATAACTCACATCTATTCATTGTTAGTAAAATGGAATTGAATTATTACTGACCAGAATGCATATATATGTATGTACATATGACTTTAGCAACACGGGAATAAAGGTAACTTGTATTTAGTATTATGCTGTGTTGCTGTTGAAAAATTTATGTCCTGCTCAAGTACAAACCACTTATTACCAACCCCTGGAGAAGTTATGATCAAATCACGCACGGAGTGAATATTTGTCTTCACAACATTTTTAACTGTGCAATTAATAACTTGTCACAATTTTCAAAACTCTTGACTTGATTATCGCTTAAATTGTACAAATCAAAGTTCTCATGTCATGTAGCTTGCGTAATAAATAGATATTATTATATCACTTGAAACAAATTGTGCAGTAATTATAAACTGTTTTGTAATTCTACATACACACATTCTATGTGCATATGTAATTGTTCAATTTTATTAACAACATGCTTGCATAATTAAGAGGGTGTGAGACACAAGAGTGTCTCACACGGGTGAGAAGCCGTTCGTCTATGAGTTTTGTGATTACATGTAAATATGGTCGAAATAATAGTTTTTCAAGGCATGTAAGATTAAAACACCCACAGAATATGAGGGGAGATACAAAATTGGTAAATATCAAGACCCAATGGGATGATTAAGTGTTCGATTTAAAACGGGTGTAAATTTTTAACACTTGTAGATACATAATAAATTCTATTTGCATAAATCGTGTATAATATTTGGGTTAGTTTATACCCCGAACTGTCGGATTAATGCTAAATCAGTAACTTATATTAATCATTTAATTTATAACCGCACTGTATACATTGTAAAAGCGTTTTGTTAATAATAAATTGTTCAAGATATTATTTTACTTTGAGTTTAAATAATAAGTGCTAAATATCTATACACGCATGTGCATATATGTATAAGTACGTAAAGTAGCATCCATGAAGATAGGAAATAAGTAGTTTCATGTTTTATTATTTTGCATCAGCCTCTACGTGCATATTTGTTACGTAACTAAATAATTATGCAATACATAAATACATGCATTTCCTCGTATGCTAACAGTCCATTAAATACATATGTGTAAAATGTATAAATCCAATGATGCAGTTTTTCATTGATGTATAAGAGCCACAAGTAACTTTTTCCAACGTTTCTGGTCATTAATACTTGAAATAGAAATAATCGCTCATAAATCCATACGTATGCATTTTGTTTAATACAATCCTGCAATCTACAAACATACATAAATTAAGTAAAGGGTGTTTATTTAATTCGCCTCCATGTCTTTTTTGGAATCAGGGACAAATTTACGAAAATTAAAAGCAAGTCCAAATATTAAAGCTAAGGGAATGATGATTATACATAAATGGACGCAGGACTAATTATCTAGCAATGCATCTCTGATAAAAAATGTCCTCGTTAAAGTTTTCATCGTTTTTGAGCTACAAGTTTTTAAATATAGAAATAACAAATCGGGACGAATTAAATCAACACCGTTTACATTTTCTTAACATACAGTATGCAAGATTTCCCCTCCGTCAAATCCAACAATTCTCGCAATATATCTTCCTCCCCACAATTTTCGTCTCCACTTATTCCCACCCTTAATCCCAACTCGCCCCCCATCCTCAGCCATTCCTTCAATTTGTCACCACCCATCCCACCAAACGTTTCCCATCTCGGATTCAAATTTGGAAACGTGGTCACAATTTTCTTGAAAAAGCTGGAACAATCTACAATTTCAAATTTGTCTTTATCCCCATAATTTTGCGACCCTCCCAGAACCTTAAAGTTCTTCATGTACGAGTACTTCGGAATGAGGGGAATATGAAGCTCTCACAACGTGAGACATTCACCCTACAGAAAATATCTAAATAAAAATCCAGCACAAATTTCGAAATATTCCTCGTCGGAGAAGTCATTGTCTAAAAAATGGTATTCAAATTTAACAGGTTGAGAAACCTCTAGTTTTTCCAAGACGGGAAATGTCTCGGAATACACTAATCGACTTCCGCTAAATTTGAAATGAACCGATGGAAATTTTACGTTTCGTTTGACCCTTGATGAATCTCGGGATAAATTTATTTTGAGCAATTTAAGCTTCGGCAACACCGCTGGTAACGTTATTGTAACGTTTTCCATGTATATAGTCGAGCTCCTGGAGACATATTGAAGCGGGCTAATCTCTAATTTTTCCAAACTTTCGGCAAAAGTGGCAAGAATTACGTCATAATCGTTGGCACGGTTGCACATACTGATCTGAAATTCTATCCGGGTCAGGAAAATGGATGGGTTAGGGATCGAGATTGGTGCTGGAGTATCGAATCGGATCGAAATTGATTCGAGGCACGTGTTATTATTTTTGGAAAGAAAATACTCCACCACATTTTTTGGAAGGTTTCCACACTGTAAGATTTTAAGGTTCGGAAATAGTGAGACGATTTCAAGGATCGATTCCAGGCAGTGCGTGGGAACTAAATCGTCCCGCCTTTCGAAGGTCATGTCAAGACTGAGTTTTACAAGTTTTGGAAAAGAGGTAAGTTCCGGTAGTTTAGTGGAAGTTTCGATACCTTGCGTTTCGAAATCTTTGGAACAAAGACGTAAAAATGTCAAGTTGGGGAATTTTTTTAAAATAGCGGCAACCTGATGCTTCCCACGTGGAAAGTAGTTGAGATGTAACTCGGTAATTGGAAGGGTTGCGTTTTCGTAGAAATTTTGTAAAAGCTGGGATTCGCGAGGCGACAAATTTTTGAAGTTGAATGCAGGCAGACATATACGTTTGTAGTGGTTTCCGCGGACACTGGTTTCTTCGATGTAGGACTCCATCATTGAGGGGTTCAGCTGGATAAAGTTTCTAGTCAGGAGGTGTTTTCGAGCGGCTTCTTCCCATAGGCGGGAAACTAAAGTGACGCTGTGCACGAGGGCGGTAGTGGAGACGAAGGAGAGTATTTCTCGGAGAATCTGGAAGTACGGATCAGTTTAGTAACCTCGGTTGCTTCTATTAATTTTTACGGTTATAGTTATCTATTAATTTTCTGGAACGTTCGGATGAGTACTATTGAGTACAGAATTGTGTAATAGGTTTTTATCACTTGACTTCCAGTTGATTTTTGAAATGTTACTTTGCCTACCAATTACAAATATCTTCATAGTAATTCTAAAAAGACGTAAGTGCAGTCGATGCTTAATTTTAAAAAGACGTAAGTGCAGTCGATGCTTAATTTTAAAAAGACGTAAGCGCCCTCGATGCTTAATTTTAAACAGTGCAGTAAGTGCAGTTCAACTTCGACTGTCGAAGCTTAATTTTTAAAAGGCGTAAGTGCAAAAAAATATCTGGCATTTTCAATTTTGGAAACTTTGGGGGTTTAACCAAGTCAAAATTCAATTTTGGATTTAAGAACCGCACCCCCTGAATATTTTTAAAATTTTGAGTGTACTGTGGAAGTTGGATCATCGGGCTGAGAAAAAGGATATGTTGTGTCTTGTTTAGTTTTGGGCATGTCGTGTTTTATTTAGTGCAAAATAGGCGTCGAAAACCACACTCACTAACGGTGTAGTTTTTAAATTTTGAATCTCCTTTCATTACTAGCCGACGGGGGCCAATAAATTCAAATTTCCTTGACAGGATAATTTTGAACAAACAATTACTATTTATAACTTTGAAACTGCACTTACGTCTTTTTACTACTTTTTTGTGCACTTATGTCATTTTAAAATTAAGAATCGAGTGCACTTGCGTATTTTTGGAATTAGTGGGACCATATTTGTCTCGCAAAATTATTTAAATTACCAATAAAATACGAGATCGTTTTCCATTGCGTACCAGTTACACAAATTTATGTAATTCTATATTATCTATAAACCGGAAATGTATGTCTACAACGGAAATGAAAGTCATTTATCCGCAACGGAAGTGAAAGGAGGTGAAAGTTCATTTGCAACTAGGACTAAATTCCATCGCGTCTCTTTTCACTTCAGAAATCTCAATTTTAGATTTTGAATGTTGAACATGAATATGATAACCGTTTCGACCTGTGGCAACCAACCCAGTGGCCATGTGGGTCAGGTCAAGTTAAAAAACATAGTTCATACGCTCCCCCGACGGCAGACGGGCTTTTACGCTAGTTCTATATCAGGGATTTTAAAAATTCTGGTAATCAATAAAGTTGTAAGATGCCGGACAACGTAAAATTTTCAAAAATACGTACTTTAGAAGCTAATAGGCCTAATTTTGCTATACAAATGCTAGTGTAACTGGTAAGCAAAGTAACATTTCGAAACATATGTAGATTAGGGTAGTCAAGTGATAAAAAATCGTTACAAAAATTTCTGTAATTGATAGCCAAGAGGTGGTGGATATATATTTCAGTATTTAATTAACAAATCTTACCTCGGGTAAAGTGACAGCCAGGTGTGGATATGAGGCTTGATCTTCCAAGTTCATCTTAGAAGAATTCTGATAATTGATCTTAAATTTGATTAGAATTTATGGTGCTTATTTACTTATGCATAACTCACCTGTCGAGGTTGTAAATATTTATTTGGCTTCTTGGCAAGCTTGGCTAACTTGGGACGATCATAACTCGGTTTGATCGTCAAGTGTTGAGGAGGAAATGGTGCATATTTTTAGCCTAAGCGTGAAAGGGTGGCTCTAAATATGTAGGTAGGTTTTAATATTTACATGTACCTACTACTGCCACATATTCTGTCTCAAGCATTCCGCGCGCAAAAAAACATCAGTAGCAGTTACGTTAGCCAGTTGTACTATTTTTTATTGAATTCCCCATGCAATTGTCTATCAGAAACCATCTTCCGAAATTTTTTGTGATACAAGGTGCTAAAATGACAGATCGGACAAATCGACGTGTTGCAATTTTTCAGAAACATTTTTGCAAACATAAAAATTCGGCATTTTTCAATAGATCATTAAAAATCGGAACTAATTGCAAGATGGTCGACCATACCATAAAATGATCCACTAACATTGGCAGTGTTGATAACCGAAAACCGAGTTGAAGGGAACGGTCAAAAAGGTCACAAAAAATCACAAAACCTGAACTCGGCTGAATTCATGCCGGATCCTAAGAAAAATGTCCCTACAAATGAACGGTCCAAGTAAAACTACGTCCCAGGCCCCTAAACTCGACCCTGGACTTATGTCTTTAAGATGTGAAAAGAAATACTTGCTAACTTCATGCCAAGTAAAAATAGAACCTTCAAAACCCGGGCACTGATCATGCGGTACGCGTTTGAAGATGGAAATAAGTATTTTTGAAAGATAAGTAAACTATCACAATTGAGGCCATATAAAATTAGCAAAAGTACTTTGCCCACACCCCACCAGTCCATATTATTCATAAAATTTTTTAAAATATTAATCGGACCCACCATCCAGATTCTGTGATTTTTTTATTCGGCGTAGATTGGATTTGGTCAAAAAAGTGAATTGTCTTCCTCTGGGGGTGAAATTTCTTGTCAAACTGTATTTTTTGAAGTTATCGAGCGAATGGAAGAACCACTGGACCACACTCTATTAAAAAATAGCTGCTAAGTATTCGAGCAGGGCTCAGGACCTGCTGATAAGGCCAAAATAGTAAAAATGGGGTAAAATTCCAAAATTTCTTACTCCATTTCGGATCAAGAATAAAATGCACTGTCGCCGAACCTCAACCTTCTGGAATACGATATGTGGTCCAAACTGAAGCTAGATACATGTGCTAAACACACCACAAGTTTGGAATCCGAGAAAAAATCTGTCGCTTAGAAATGAGACTAATATTCCTTGGAATGAGTGCGTACCGCGAGTGAGATGTGGATATCTAGACTTTCTGCTATTGTAGCTTCGAAAGGAGGAAATTTTGGAAAGTGCCCGGTATATTTTGTAGGGAATTTAATAGGCTTTCTCATGATATCGTTCGTTTTTTAAAATTCACTAAACTGAGTCCGCTACATTAATTTGTTTAGTGGTCAAAACTTATGGCAGTAGTAGGTATATATAGGTATTGAAAATAAGGTAAGTTCAACGATACGTATGGGTGTATGGGCTGAGTTTGGGAACTTCGGTGTGAAGAGAGTGCGTTAAACAATGGGTTGAAATCTGAAGAATTTTTGGCAGTAAAAGGAGTAACCCACACTGCTAAATAAAATGCTATCCCCTCGAAAGGTTAATGTGCTCTCAGGATTAATTTCATATGTGTTTATGTAGCCAGCCAACTACCTATACTAACTCAACCGTAGGTAAAGTTGACTTAATTGAGAGTGAAGTTTACAGTGGATTTGTATAGTTTACTTAATATTGAAGTCAGAGTGAATTTACTTACCAAAAGGGTTACATTATTTTTAAGCGTGGAATAAATATTTATTTAACCAAACTTCGAAAGATATAACCAAAGTAAAACATGTTGAAAGGGAAAAATTTCTTAATGGATGCGATCGACAGAGGCGCATATTTTGCAGACAACCCATGGTCCTAAAATGTACAAGGTAGTTTAAATGTATCGCTACAAGGGAAAATTTTTCAGTGGGAAAAATTCACAAATTTACATTGGTCACCGAAGATTTGAAATTCACTCTAAGAATTTCGGCATTATGTTCCATCAATTTTGAAATTAGAGTAAAATAATTAATAAAAATCTCAACTCCACTTGGCCGTAACTAATGGGAGGTATGTATGCAGATAGGTACATACTTTTCCCATTGCAAAATTTTCTACGATCGCTGCTATTTTTGCCTTGTGCACACTGCAAGCCTACGCATAATAGACAGGTTGAGCAAGAGTACATGATTGTATTTTGCGATTGTAAACACAGCGGGAAAATCAAAATTAGTCAAACTTTTAGTCAAACTCAGGATTACAAATCTCCGTCTCCAGGCAGCATTGTATTGTACTCATATACCCAACTTGCAGGAATTTTAAATCTGCCGCCGGAAATTAATGAGAATTACAATCCTACCATAAAATATTCTTGCTCAACCTCAAGAACATACAATCATAGATTGTGATTGTGATTCTAGCTACAATCATTTTTTTACAATCTTGTACTCTTGCTCAACCTGTCTAATAACTGACGTCTGACTTTCTGATTAACCATTTATCTAGGCACGAATTGAAATTACTGTTAAATAAATTATGGCAATTAATAAACATGAAAATAGACTGAGGGTATACTTACGACTGGTTCATGTAGATTACAAACAAATTCTTAACGCAGCAAAAAAATTACCTTTAAAATTCCCTTGCCTATCGTCATAGACCAATATTAATTTGAATTTATTTTTTAAATGATTTTATAATGCGAGCTAGCCATATAAACTGTAATGAATCCCGCAATTGCGTATTAAAATAAGTATTAAACAACAATAAATATATAATTAATCCAAGATCATTCTTAAAATTTGCGTCTTACGAATATCATTCACACATATGTGAATGTCATATTATTACTAAACCAGCAATTTTACTTAATTAATTAATATTTAAATTTACCTAGATATATCCGTAATGTTTTAAATACTAATTATTAAATACAGTTTTTGCCTAGCTTCCTATTAATTATTAAATATACTCCCTGAGTTTGATAATAAATTCTAAACATCTATATTTAATTTGGGAGACTTTATGGTTCATCTATTAAAACCGCAGCATTTTCCTATTCAATTTTGCTGCAACGAGTTGGCGGATCTGGCCCATGCTTATAAGCATTGGAACTTTGATTGTCAGCCGTTCATGCAATTCTCCATGGATTTTCAAAATTAAATATGTCTTGGAAACATCTGACCCTTCCCTACAATATATAATTTCAAATTTTTAAAATTTGACCTACGTGACCTGAAATCAAGGTCACAAGGTCAAAAAATGAGAATATTTGCAAAGTCCTTAAAAATGCAAATTCGCAAATTTGATTCGAAATTTAAAAGTCAGGCAACTCAGGGGAGTGGCAAAACATTACCCTCTGGTCATTCTAAAAATTGAGGGTGTGGCAGGGGGTGTGGGAAAATTGAATCAGGTTTAAATTATTAGAGTTTTAACACCTGGGACCGTTAGAAATATCACTATCCAATAAGGTCACCCCCCTCAGCAATGGTTACATTATCACATTAAAATCTTCAATTCCCACCCACAGGGGGTGTGCCCATCAGCGTTTTTGTGGTTAATCATCTTAAGTACATTGCGCGACACAAATAATTTATTGTAACGGAATGGGGACCCCAATGGTCCCATCATATCACAAAAAAACACACCAAGGTTAAAATCTTGAATCCCCACCCACAGGGGGTGTGGTTATCAGCGGTTTTGCTATCTTTTCCAGAAAGCATGTCGTGTGACATATCGTTTTGAGCAGAAACATGAGGGCAACTTAAAAATAGAATTGAAGTTACCAAAACCACACCCCCAGGTGGGTGTGGCTTTTAGCGCTTTTGCCATCTTTTCGAGAAAGCATGTCGTGTGACATATCGTTTTGACAAGAAACATGAGGGCAACTTAAAAATAGAATTGAAGTTACCAAAACCACACCCCTGGTGGATGTGGCCTTCAGTGCTTTTGCCATCTTTTCGAGAAAGCATGTCGTGTGACATATCGTTTTGGCCAGAAACATGAGGGCAACTTAAAAAATAGTATCGATGCTACCAAAACCACACCCCCTGGTGGGTGTGGCTTTCGCCGATTTTACCATCTTTTCGAAAAAGCACGTCGTGTGACATTATTTTCATCAGAAACATAGTGGTCATTTTACAAGCGACCAAAACCACACACACCAGTGGGTGTGGCTTTAGGTGTTTTTTAATCAGTATTCTAGTAAAATATCAATAATTTACGGGTAAACAAAAGTGATCTACAGTATAGGCCGGATGTCTTTCCACCCTCATAATTTTTCCACTTAAAGCGTTATATTTCTCGAGAAGCTTGAGGAAATTAACTGCAATTTTGCACAATTACTTATCATGATGCAAGGTTTTCGGAACCATACTTTGGATAACGGCGTGGCACAGGAAACGACAGGGTGAAATTATATACAAAAGTCGGACTGGAAAAAAGTCTTTCCACCCAGACTTAAGTTTAATGCAACATTCATTTTAAATTTTTGTTTGTTATGTAATAGTCAAATTATCATTTGCAATGTTCACCCAGGTCCTCTAGGAAGGCAATAACACCTCTAGGCATCAACACAAAAATTAAGATTGTGTATAAGGTGTCTAAATTCTCCAATTCAAATTTAACGACTTCGCCCAGTCCACTCGGGTTTGACAGTTTTTGCTACGAAATCATAGGCTTCATAATTGACAACAAATGTTCATTAACATTCCGTCCGGTGATATTAGAGTACAATCCAACAACTAAATCTCGTTTGTCGTAAATCTACTTCTCAAAAACTTTGATATATGCTTAAATTCACCATTCTGTTTGAAATAAAATTGTCACCACGCGGTTATTTCTCGCGTCACCATCAA